ATGTTGACATGCTGGCAGACGTCAAGCAAATGGCTGCTGTAGCTGCTGCAACTGGACAAACCATCTCGTCCATTGATGTTCAGCTACGGCCAATAGATCGGTATGCAATACGTTTTCTGGAACTGTGGGACCCTTTACGTGATAAAGCAGCTATGGACTCTGATGTCCAGTTTGAGGAGACAGAATGGGAACTCGACCGTCTTGAGAAGTATAAAGAGGAGATGGAAGCCGAGATTGATGAAGATGAAGAGCCTCTTGTATATGAAAGTATGTGTATTCTTGTCTTAATGTCTTGTGATAATAACAGTAATTTTTCTGTATTTGTACACTAACAATTCTTTCTGGTCACCATGTTTTGAATGCTATACTTCATGTGAATGGTCAGTGTGGGAGAATGTTGGCTTCCATTTGAACCAAGAAAGTTTTCGAAAAAATACTTTTAATTCACTTAATTGCAAATTTCAGCTCTTCACTGTTGTAGATGTTTTTCCAATTTGGCTTAGAATATTTTATATGGACTTCACATATATAGAAAAGTTAAGATAACGATCCATTCTTCTGCTGTAAATAAAGTTGTATATTTGAATGCAACTTGTTAGTGCACTTTTAGAAAATTTGACCTTTATACCCCATGCATTCCTCATTTATGATTATTTTTAAATTTTTTTAAAATGATTAATGCTGGATTTCTGTGTTCAACAGGTTGGGATGCTGATTTTGCAACTGAAGCATATAGACAGCAAGTCGAGGTCTTGGCACACCATCAGGTTTGAAGAAGATATTCTTCCCTTTGAAATGATGGGATAACTTTCCCCCCTCTATTTATCATATCAATGAATTAATTGAATTTTTCCTCAAAAGAGTCTTGTGTATTCATTATCATCTTTATTCATTATTTATTTCACAGTTGATGGAGGATTTGGAATATGAAGCTAAGCGGAAAGAAGAAGAAGAGGCTGAAAATTGTGATCCTACAAGGTGAAACTATGTTTTGAATTCTCATTGGAAACTATAAAATATAATAAAATATTGTTACTTATAAATAATTAGGGTATTAGGATGTAACCCTGCATGTCATTTGGACTTCGGAACACTTGCCTTTCCTCATAGGAAGTGGGGCGTTTCTGTGTTCGAATACTAGAAGTTCTTGCTTTAGGTTCTGGATGGTGTACCTTTCCTCATCTTGAGCTGGATTGTGGTTACAGTTAAAATGTTGTGGAGTTATAAAATTATAAAAAGCATCTAACGTTGAAATTACTTCAATCATGATATTGGTTAATAAGAACAACTGTGTTGGTCTCATGGTGATGTTCTGGTCATGGATCCATTCACTGTAGGATTAGGCAGTTTTTCTTGGTGAGGTATTGTAGTTGCTTAAGGCAAGTAAACCAATGGTTACTGAAAAAAGGTGGATTAATAAGGAAGTTTCTAGTTCCTGTAGTAGAACCTCGCTGATTTTGATTTATTTGGTTGCTTTCACGGAATTTATTTGCTCTGGTTGTTTGCGATAACATCCTTTCGTGCGTGCATGCATGCTTGTGTACATACATACATGCATACATATATCTTAATGAGATCCTTGCATATATAGTTTGGAATATCAAAATATGTTAAATTCTACTGATGTTGTTGAATCACAACTGAACCTTAAAACTACGCTGATACGTTAGGGTGACATTTTGGACTTGGAAATTTATAGGAAGAGCTAATAAGTGAGAATCAATATTAATTAGGGAGAAAATGACATTATAGGGTTTGAACACAAGACTTTTTGCTCTAATACCATGTTAATCAACTCAATCCAAAAGCTTAAACTGATGTGTTAGGGTACCTTTGATTTTATTAATAATTCAACATACACATTATTTTTCCAAGCTGATATTTAGATTATGAAATATATGGAACAACAAAATCTTATAGCGAGATCAATCAATAGTAACAAGGATAAGAGTTTCAGATTCAATAACCTTGGTAATGTTGATTTTTGTATGACATTGGGTTATGCCTTTTGTTTTCACAATTAAGAGTTCTTTAATCAGATCAACTCCTATTTTCTCTGCAGGAATGCAACACCTAGTGAACTAAAACCGAAGTCTAAAAAGAAATCAAAGAAAGCCAAGTTCAAATCTCTAAAGAAGGGTTCTCTTTTTTCTGAGCTGAAATCAGTGAAAAAAGAAATGTCCGTGGAATTCATGTCTACAGATGATGAAGATTTATGTAGTGAAGATGTTCTTGAATCTTTATCAGCTCAGTCAAGCTTACAGAAAAAACGTAAAAGGGGTGAGTTTAGTCTGGACAGTGAGACAGGAAAGTCCCTGAAGAAGAAATCTAAAAAGTTCAAGAAAAATATTGCGGATGCTTTCCCATTAGATCTCCATCTCAGTGAGTCAGGAGTGCAATATGATGAAGCTATAGAAATAAAACCACGGGAGACTGGTGCGGATCTCGAACATAAATTAGTTGGTCGTAGTAGAATGGGAGGAAAAATATCTATTACTTCCATGCCAGTAAAGCGAGTTCTAATGATAAAGCCAGAGAAAATAAAGAAGGGGAACATTTGGTCAAGGGACTGTGTTCCTTCCCCTGACTTTTGGTTGCCACAAGAGGATGCTATATTGTGCGCGATGGTACATGAATATGGTTCGCATTGGAGCATGATTAGTTCAACCTTATTCAGTATGACTGCTGGTGGGTTTTATAGAGGGAGATACCGACATCCTGTCCATTGTTGTGAGAGGTATAGGGAACTCATACAAAGGTATGTTATATCTGCACCAGATAATCCGAATAGTGAGAAGACCACAAATGCTAGCTCTGGAAAAGCTCTTCTCAGAATCACAGAGGTTAGCTAATGATTTTGTTGATGCGCATGTTATTATCTGTTCTCTTCTCTGGTTCATGAAACTTGGGTATGTTGCAGATTTACTTGTCAGTTCTTTAGAGATCGTGTTTCGGGTTACAGTTTTGTGTCATATTTCTTAAGAATATTTCGGTGCGCTCTGACTTTTCAATGTATGTGATAAAAGAATTCACCGGTCATCAATCTCTTCTGTTTCAGGAACATATTCGAGTACTGTTAGACGTCGCTGCTGAGCAGCCTGATAGTGAGTACCTACTTCAGAAACATTTCACTGCCCTGCTCTCATCTGTGTGGAAGGCAAGAATACGTGGGAACCGTGGTTTCGATACTTCACTTTCTAGAAATGGTCTCTATTCTGGTGGAAGGTATTTTCCAACTGGTAACCATATTACTCGGTATTTGGGGAGGGAGACCACAGGGAAGTTGAAATTTGGCAACACAAGCCACAATTGTAAGTTAATAGCTGCTGCACTTAATGATGCTGGTTGTACGAGGACCGATGATAAAACGTCCCTTTCCTATCATGGGGGACGTGCATCAGTCGCTACAGAACAGTTGGAGCTAACACTCGAGTTCGAGGGAGAGAATGATCTTAACGTGTCATTCCCATCCTCAATTAACTTAACGGTATCGGATGCAGTTGACTTGTCCCCGATCAACCTGGATGCTGGTGAGTCTTCTGGTGCTCGAAGGCTAACAGAAGTTGCAGAGATTCGTTTCAGGTATAGTTCCTTTTCCCTTAGTGTTCCAACAATTATATTAAGTTATGACATCTGTGTCCTGATTCCTCCTTTGGGTGTTGTATTGCAATGAGTTCACTGATTGGTTAGTTCATTAGTCCTTTGAAAAGGTCCGGTCTTATCCTGGATTATCATATATGCATCTTTAAAAAACTAGAAGTAATGGCTGTAAGACTTGAAAAAATATGCAATGGATCACATGGGGTGGGTTGTTTTCTTTTTGTCAAAGAAATCCATAGCAAACTTATGAATATCTTTCTTTGAAATGCCTGACAAAGAACGTGTTTTTATGCCCAAGGGATGCTGCTAGAACTTGTAATGAAGATTTCCACGGGTGGGCTTCATCTGTATTCCCCATAACCGATCTCAAGGCTCGCTCTGTGCCAAAATCACAGTCACTTGGAAAGCATAAGGTGGGAGGAGTCGCTGACTCTTCCAAGTCCAGTAAATCCAAGTTCAGAAAGGCAGGACCTGACCACGGGGAGAGTTCCCACACGATAGCTGACCCAGTGATGTACCAGATGCCATCTCTTATCCAGGAGGACGTCCATAACTTATATTCCCTCAGCTCACCAATTCTTACAGACGATTCATTCCCATTTGTCATGGATGAGTATCCATTCCTACAAGACGAACCAGGGACTCTAGAGATTGTCCCTGACAACGACTACATCCTGGGATCGATTTCAGGTTTCGACACGATAGGCCCCGACTTCACGGATATTGGTTAGACTCCTCCATGTAGCCATTCACCTCAGCCATTCATTTGAAGCAAGGCCACCTCGACTACCAGAAAACAGAGTCGTTGAGGCTACTACCCAGTTAGCCAGCACGAAGCTAATCCTACTTTCTGGTCATTTTTCGTTGGGGGACTCAAACAGCCAATCTGGGTGTTCGCATACATTGGACACATTGAATCAAGCAGGAGTGCTGGGAAGAACAAAAACCGAAAGGGATTCGAGGTTGGGAAAACAAACTGTGTTAGTTATATTCATCATTTTGGTCTGTGTGTTGCTGCATGTTTTCCCAAACGTTGATGATAATTGAATTTCTGGATATTTTTCCTGTTTCTTAATTCTTCCACACATCTAAATATGTTTCCATCCAAATCTCCATAATTATTATACGAACTCTTTTTTTAAGGAAAAAAATTGCATTACATTCTTTTTTTTTTATCTAAATAAATATTTTTAAACTGCTACTTTTATAACATTTTATCTAAATTCTTGCCAACCCTAATTTAAAACTAGATACTAATTGCATTTTAAATCACATTAAAGTAAATTAAATAATAATAAATTATAATTTCAGTGCCATTAAGTATTGCGAAGCTATGAAGTTCCAAAAATGGAAAAAAAAAATTAAAATTCCTTGAAAAATTTTAAACGAAAAGAATAATCATTAAAATGAAAATATTTATTTATTTCACAATAAACCGTACACGAAGTTCCACCAAACTATTAATTACCAACATTAAAACACAACGCAAGCTATTATTATAATCTGAAAAGACCGCACGCTTCAACGGTCGGTGCCGCCCACGGTCGGGTCATAGGCGCGGGTTCCGGTTCCGGTGGTCAGACCGGTGTGCGCTCCGGTCTTCGAAGCGGCCTGCCTCTCTGCCGCGTGTTCTGCACGCGCCTGTTGCTTGTCGAGCTCCGCCCCGTGAAGCCGCTCCTCTTTCCTTTCGCTGGCCATGTCCTTCTCCAATGGATCGTGGGCCCGCATTTTGTCCACCTGGTGCATGCATTTACTTCTCTTTAATTATTAGTTAAATTGAATTAAATAGTTTCTCAATAGCTCAAAATTTGGAATAAAATAGAGATTAGACTCGAAATCATTCAGCTAATTATTAATAATATAATTAAAAAAAAAACAGAAAATTAAGAACCTTTTCTTGAGCCGTGGCTTTGGTCTTTTCCATGCCAGCCCTCGCAGAGGCCCCCACGTTGGCGGCCGATTCTTTCACCGACTCCGCCGCGTTCTTTCCCGACTGCATTTTCCCACTCTTTTCTTTTCTATTTTTTTCCCTCAAATATTTCGTGTAGTAAACACTGACGTTTGACAAACGGGATTAACGGCGACTCTTAAATACAGTTCGGAACGATTATGCTTCGGGGTCCCGTGTCAAATTCATGACGCCACGTGGAGCACGCGTGGCGAGTGATCGAGGGTTTAGCTTCGTCATGTTATATTTCTATGACGTGGCGGTTTTGGGACATGTGTGTCAATTGGAAGTACTACAAAGCTCCCCGCGCTCCGCCACGTACTACGCTGTCATACGATTTTTTATATTTCAATCTCAATTTCTATAAAATTGTTTTTTTTTTTTTTTTACGAAAATTCATGACATTTACCGAGTTTTTTTTAAAAGAATAAAATTAGTCTCAACCAAAAATAAATAAATAAAAAAATCTAAAAAATCCCAATATAATTATTTAATAAAAGATTGGTATAAACCTAAAATTGCCGACCCCGTGAGATATTTCCGAGCCGTCCAGGCACGATCTTCACCGTCTAAAATGTCGCAAACAAACGCCCCTCTCGATCGGACGGTGGAGATCGCAGGCCATTCTTTTTACGAACAGTGGCAGAGAGAAAGCCGCCGACGCAAGAGAAGCAACCAATGAGAGAGACCGACCCCACAGGCCACAGCCACACGTGCCATTGTTGTTTTAAATTTATTTATTTTAGATTTATTTAGGTTTTTAAAAATATTAAAGCAAGAAAAAAACATTATCTTAAATAATTTTGTTTATGCAAAAATCTTATAAATATATATATTTTTTAATTGGAGTAGAAAGGAACATTAAGGCTTCGTTGCCGGCGAGCTGAAGGCGGCGAAAGCGGAGAGTGCGGAGCTCTCTCAAGCTCTGCTCCTTTTCTTCTCTTTCAGGTATCGTTTCCTTCAGCATTTTGTTTGTTTTATTACTGCTTTTATTTGCCTTTTTCCTTTTGGATTCTTGATTCTCTTTCTCTTGTTTTGATATCGGACAATGTGGACTTTGTTAAGGTGTGTGGTGATGTGTAGATCTGTGTTGACATTTAGATTATCGCCATCAAGATGTTGTGTGATTTTGATTTTGATTTTGTACTGAACGAAGGTTATAGTGTCTACAGTGCTTAAGTAGTTTAGATTTTAGGTTCTCGCGGAGATTGTGCATAGTGATGAAATGGACGCTGAGATTTAGGACGGTTGAGAGTTAGTCTGTTGGATTTAACTTACTTTTTCCCTTGGAAGATCTGAAATCACGTGGTTTCGATCTGGATATCTGGATTTGGCTCTTTCCTGTAATGGATACGCTATTACATTGGAAGCTTGTGATGCTGAAGATTTGTCGATTTATGAGCAAATTGGAAACTTCGTGTTTCTTCTTTGTACAGATTTGCGCATCAGATTATTGATCCGTGATATCTCATTTTCAACTTTCGGGAAGTTTTTTTCTTCTCTCTTCAAGAGAAGAAATTGTGAATGTCCTTTTCCCAATTAGAGATCCTTCCTTGAGGCCCTACCTGAAAGAAGGTCGTATTGGGTTTCTTTCAGGTACGGTACGTATAAACAGAGTATTGGATTTCTCATTGAAGCTGATTACCTGGATATTTCTATTCATACTGTAGGCTGAATAGAAATAGAATAACCCCACGGCTTACGGCATCAGAGAGTTGGAATTAATCTCTAAACATGAACATCAATTTAAATTAGTTTCATGATAAGCAGATGTTCTTTAAAAAATTTGTAAAATAATCAATACACAGCCATTCATTCATACGACGTAAATGTGAAGTTGACAGCGGACCTAATCGCTCTGGGCGTTTTTTAGAAACTTGCCAATCTGTCTTGTGGATGAACTGGATGATAAAGGACTTCCTTTTCCGCCTCGAGTTTGGGGCGAAGTGTCTTGGCAAGTTGGTTTTCTTTGTATTGCCACCCCTTCTCCTTCGGTTCTTTTCTTACGTTGCCCCCTCTAATTTTCTGATGGCTGTACGTTGAATTATTAGGTTCGCAGTGAATTCATGCATTTACAAAATTTTTAAGTGGTACATGTGGGCCTGGTGTTTTGACTTTTATCAAATGAAGGCATCTTGCTGTCTATAACCCTTGCCATGTGAAAGTGCAATTTGTCTAGCATAGTTAAATTTAATTGTCCAATGAAATTTTAACATCCGGAGTCTACAAGATTTGTTAGTAGAGGCTAAATTGTTTTTCTGAATACAGAGATTTGCATGCACGAACTGTTCTCTTGTCTCATTAATGATTTACCACTAGCATTTCATGAAAGTGATTGTGGGACTATTGTGAAGTCTTACGGTTAGCTGTTTAATGATGCAAATTTTCGATCTCCTTTTTTTCCTTTATAAGCTTGTTCCAAGACAATATCCTAGAAAAAATGGGTGCTGGAGGTCGAATGTCCTCTCCTTCATCCCTCAAGAAGGAAGATTCTGACCACTTGAAGCGAGTTCCATCCACAAAACCATCATTCACCCTTGGTGAGCTCAAAAAAGCCATTCCCCCACATTGCTTTCAGCGTTCTGTTCTCCGCTCATTCTCTTATGTCGTTTATGATCTTACCTTAGCTTCGATCTTCTTTTACATTGCAACCACTTACTTCCAAAACCTCTCTAGCCTCTTGTTTTATCCCGCCTGGGCTTTATACTGGGTTGCCCAAGGCTGCGTCCTGACTGGCGTATGGGTCATTGCCCACGAGTGTGGCCACCACGCTTTCAGTGATTACCAGTGGCTCGATGACACTGTTGGCCTTATCCTACACTCTGCCCTCCTGGTCCCTTACTTCTCTTGGAAGTACAGCCACCGCAGACACCATTCCAACACCGGTTCTCTTGAGCGAGATGAAGTCTTTGTCCCTAAACAGAAATCCGCTATCAAATGGTACTCCACATACCTCAACAACCCGCTTGGCCGTGTCTTCACACTCACTATCCAAGTCGTCCTAGGCTGGCCTCTCTACTTGGCCTTCAATGTCTCCGGCCGACCCTACAACCGTTTGGCCTGCCACTACGACCCATACAGCCCCATCTACTCCAACCGGGAGCGGTTGCAGATATTCATCTCTGATGCTGGGCTGCTGGCCATCACCTACGGACTCTACCGCCTTGTTCTGGCCAAAGGCCTCACCTGGGTGGTCTGTGTTTACGGAGTGCCATTGCTGATAGTAAACGGGTTCCTTGTCCTAATCACATTCCTCCAACACACTCACCCGGCATTGCCGCATTACGATTCCTCAGAATGGGACTGGCTGAGAGGCGCTTTGGCGACAGTAGACAGAGACTATGGCCTCTTGAACAAGGTATTCCACAACATCACTGACACTCATGTGACCCATCATTTGGTCTCCACAATGCCACATTACCACGCGATGGAAGCAACCAAGGCAATTAAGCCAATTTTGGGTCAGTACTATCACTTCGATGGAACTCCAGTTGTTAAAGCAATGTGGAGAGAGGCGAAAGAGTGCATTTACGTGGAACCTGATGAAGATGAGAAGAATAGAGGCGTTTTCTGGTATAGGAACAAGTTGTAATCTGTTTCCGGAAGACTTTTCAGCCCTTTTCTCTATCCTGCTTCTGCTACTCCAGAAAGAACTCCTTGTGTGCAGTAACTTTTAAAAAGCCACCCCTTGCGTTAGGTCGGTCAAGTTTTCTTGTTTGGTTTGCTTTGTAATGTGAGTTAATATAATGAAATAAGTTATGGGAAGATTAGCCTCTATGATATAATATAATGAAGAACACACGAATAAAAACCAAAAACAAATAGCAAAACAAGGAAACTCATCGTTGATGATCTCCTTACACTATTTGGCTAACGGTAAAAGCTCTTCTATCTGGATGTGCCCTGTTATTTATTGATCTAAATTCAAACAAATAATATTTTTGTTTTAAATTTTTCAATGATGAGAAGGAGAGAGGGAGATGAACAAATGGTTCAGGATATTACCAATTGATTAAACAAGTTTGGAGAATTAAAACTACAAATTACAAATTAATGGGTAGAAATAATAACAATATAATAGAAACAGAAGAGAGAAAATTAACTTCGAAATGGAACAATAAATACCCAAGAACTTGTTCCTCTAAAGCAACACATGATGGTTCTCATTTTCTTTCTCCCATGAAGATTCATAAGAGTGAATTTTGAGAGATGAACAATTTTGGAGGTAATAATAATCCTCCCCTTGGTGTGTTGCATCAGAATATGCTGTAATAATAATAATAATAATAATGGTTGTACAAACATCCATTGAAATGAGTGCATGATTAATTCTTCAAGGAAATATAAAAATAATGACTTTGCATACCTTATAATGCCTACCCTTGAAGACTGAATAAGTTTTTCTACTCTTCAAAGTTATCCAATGGTTACACGGGGAATATGAGAAATTTTTGGCCAATCTTCTCCTTTTCCTCTCCTCCAATTTGGGGCACTCCAAACTATTCAAATATTGCAAAGAGGGGAGGTGGTGAGTCCTTTCCGGCCATGGAGTGAAGTGACTTTCCAAATTCACTTTGCAACAAATCCATTTGAAGAATCTCAGGTTTCTTTCCTGTCGACTCTAGAATCTTTTCAACAATAACTTTTACATCAAAATCGTTAGAAATACACACCCATAGTTTCAACTCAAAATGTTTAGACAGATTGAGCAAGTGCAGTCTTTCCTAATCCTCCCATTCCAACTATGGCAATCATTGGAACATTGTCCTTGGCATTAGGATCTATATTCAGGAGAAGATCTATAATTGCTTTCCTGTCGTGATCTCTTCCCACCACATCATCATCACATATAAAAGACTTCCTCAGCTCATCATCTCAAGTATTTATCATACACTCACATAAATGAAATTGATTTTTATCATCATCAAAAGCTTTCAGTTTCTCTCTAATGTCTTTAATTTTGTGACTCATTTGAAATCGGAATTCAATCTGACGAGGTAAAGAGAAAACTTTACGTACCTCTTTGCTCCATCTTTTTCCATCAGCCATAACTTGCAGCCTCAAGGTTTCATAAGTATACTCGTCAATCAAGTCACCGACATCCAATTCTTCACTGCATGACTATTGGACTGTTGCTTCTCTGCATCATGAAGCACAGCTTCCATATCTAAAATAGTTTGCTTGAGTTTGTCAAGATCATCATGAAAACTCCAAAACAATTGAAACTCAGTGATAGCAGGAGAGCCCAATTTTGGTAACAAGGGAGGCTGCAACATTGAATAGAATTGACTCCGCCATTGCAAGGATTCCAACAAGATTGAGTGAGATTTCTTCTTCTTCTTCTTCTTCTTCTTCTTCTTCTTTTCTTCTTCTTCTTCTTATAGTGGACTGAATCCTTTTTTTTCTTTTTTCTTTTCTTTTAATATTTCAAGCACAAACAAATTATCCAAACAAATTATCCACACATTATAAATAAATAAATATATAAATATAATGTGTTGACTGCCAGACTTTTGTCGGCAGCTAAGAATAGTCTTTATTTAAATTGCAGAATGAAATGAATATTCAACCATTTGTGGACCCCATACCCATGTGCTTCACATTTACTATTTTCCTTACATCACATCTCATCCTACACTTCTGCTTTTGAATTTAAAAAATAAAAACAAAATGTTTAGAATTTCACTAGATAATTATTTAACTTCTATAAATTATATTTGTATTTTTCAACATCATTTTTGTATCTGATTTCAGCCTACGATTTTTGTACCCACGTTCTAAGATTTCAACAGTAATTGTCATTTCTCTTCCTCTATATTAATCAATTTCAACTGCATTTCATATTAAAATGCCATCAAAATTCTTTCTACTCCATCATCCAAACCTCGAGTCAGATGACCTATTGATAATATCCATAATTGATTGAATATTGATATACACAAAATTTTGATAGAAATATACACTCATATTTGATAACTTTTTGATATACACAAAACTTTGAAATAAAGATACACATTTGTTTGATAGGTCTACTTATATACTTGAAATTTGTGTCAATGGAGTGGTCTTTATGGTATGGGTTGATGAGTAGTTATCTGGATAAAAAACTTGCAATCAACTATTAAAGCAATATAATTCTGATTAAACCAATATAATTCACTAAATACTGAAGACCACTTCGTTCAACAAACAGCAGCCACAAATTCACATATCACGATCAGTTGCACTCGACGGAGTGCATAAATTTGTACACATAAAACTTGCATGAGTTTCAAACTAGAGAATAAAGACTAACAGATGTTCTGGAAAGGTAGCTAACAGATTGGGCCAGTCTCCCATTCCGCTCGACTTCTCGAGTTCAAACATTATGATGTCTCGAACCAACAAGAAGAGCAGGTAGACACACATTCTATTGAAAAAATTCAAACCTACGAAACGTTAGACCATAAGAAATAATTGAGAAGATAACGGATGCAAGGAGAGGATGCGTTTCTTCCAACTATCTCGTTCAGGAATGTGGCAGTTTCGCTTGTTCTTTTCCCCTCAGTTTAAACAGAATACTAACTATTTTTTGTTGAAACAATTTTGCGTCAGTTGACGATACCTTTACTATTTATAAGAAGGATGTAAGGGGGGATCATCTTCTTGCTCATCGCTCTGCTAATTTCTCTTCGGGAAATAAACAAAATTGCTTTTGTTCTTATTGTGTGTGGGATATCCTCACCAGAATGCATACCAATTAAACTTTTTGTCTCAGTCTCTCTATTTTCTATTCTTGCAAAACCTTGGTTATGAGTGAGTTATTTGATTTCTCTTTTTCTAACTTGAGATTAAATCTCTTCGCGGCCAACCATCACAAATTGATATCGGAGCCATTCTTAATTCAAATCTTCAACCAACTTTCTCAGTTCCAGGAAAAATGTTACAAGTTTCTTAGTAGTATTTAGCGGAAAAGGTCAAACTACATACTAGGTTAGATTCAAATTGACACAAAGTAGCTTCTCGACAATAAGACACGATTAAATCAAGCATGTTTTCAATTTTCACTACGAAATGTATACTTCACGGAATAAAGGAACATGAACATCAAAAAAAAATCATCGATATGCATACATAATTTTCAGTCTATACTATGCTCTACTACCATCGCGATAGTTGAAGCGAAACAAATCAACAATACTTTAAAACATGAAGAAACTCAAACACCGATACTCACAGGCAACAGCAGCGATTCTTTAGCAGAGAGTCTCTCCATCTCCTTAGCATAAATCACCGGAGCTCCTTGAGCTGCCTGCTGAACCATAGCTATACAAATCCGTCTGCGTCCAGTGGAATGCAGCCCGGAGTCAAACCCCAAGGAAGCTGCGCAGTTGGGAGAAACCGACGGTGAACGACGGGGCGAATCGAAGAGACTGCAGGAAGAGAAGAGTGTAGAGGAGGAGGAGTGAGGCGATGGGAGAGAAATCTGCGGCCTTATTTCTCCAACGGAGAGCGTCGCCTGGGCCAATGAATTGCCGAACCCGCGTCTCTCTGCAGATTATATATATATATATATTAAAATAGTTTATTTGTTTCTTTTCTCAGAAAAGGAAAAAAGAAATAAAACAAAGATTTTTCTAATTAATTTTTGTAATATTAATTTTATACGCTGTGATCTATATTTTTATTAGACAATTAAAATGGCTGAAAATTGCGCCAATTTATAAGCAGCAGAACAATAACCTCCTCACCAATTGAGATTCGAAGAGTAAAATTCTTGTGCTCTGTTCGTTCTCTTCCTCGCCATGGAAATCGACTCACAGAAGATTCTCCAGCGCAAGCAATGTCCCTATGATCTATCGGTACCTCTTTGCCTCTTCTATTTCTTAGATCGCTGTTCATTTCCTCAAAAGGATTTTGGATTTCACGACATTTTTCTTCGCCCAGCTTGGCTACTTTGGAATTGCGAAGAATTTTCCTTCGCTATTTGCTCATTTCATTTGCTTCACTTTTTGAGTAAACGTTGATCGAGAAGGCTGGAAAAATGGCGGAACTGGGAGAAATCTCCCCGATATTTGTGTTTTGATGTAGGATGAACCGTACAAGGGCCAGTAATACAGTCACATTTACTTTGCTCGACTCCACTTGATGAAAACGATACTCAGTTCACTTGTCTCTAACTGGAAACCTCATTTACCTGGTATTTGTTTTCCCTTTTCATTTCATTAGCTGTTTGATACCATGAGAAGTTTGGGTGGAAATTGATTTTGTTCTGCGACCCATGAATACATCATAATTCTTGGCTTTATAGTCCTTTAATCTGTTTATTTCCTTTTTCCTTTTGGTGAGTGCTGGTATCTTAGAATATTCAGAACTTGCAAACGTGAGCATCACTCCACTAGTTATAACATATATACTTGACCAAAATATCAGAGGTTCAAATCTCCACCCAGTTAATTCAAAAGTTTAGTGTTTATTGTTTTGGTTGAACTCAATTTAGGATGTAATTGGACCAATCCTTACTTTGAATAGCTTTTCAGTTATTCATCTTGCATGTAAGTTGCAACTGTTTAAGCATTGTGCTTTTATTCATTATCCAAGTAGAACTTAGAAGCAATTTCATGAAGAATGTGTTTTATGGATTAGGTGAAAATTTGTCTTGAAAACAATGTCTTGAAGTTTGTACTGTACCGGGATTGGAGGAAGGCAAGGAAGTGTCATTGTTGGAACCTGAAACTTAAACCTACCATTCTGGATGAGTTTCCAAAGGAGGTAATACTTAAAACAAATATGTCAACCACCATTTACATGACTCTTTATTTTTTCATTTGTTTTTATTTTGGTGTTATGGGATCGTACAGAGATCAACTTTACCCAATATTTATTCTTTTTAACCGCTATCCCTTGTCATGGCTTGTGATGTCCCACATTGGTTGGGGAGGAGAACAAATCATTCTTTATAAGGGTGTGAAAACCTTTCCCTAGCAGACGCGTTTTAAAGCCTTGAGGAAAAGCCCGAAAGGGAAAGCTCAAAGAGGATAATATCTGCTAGCGGTGGATCTGAGTCGTTATATTGCTATTGACTTGAAACATTTTATATCAATGTTTTATCAGCTGTCAAAAATCAAAGCATGTTGATTGTGAAGAGAATTACTATTTATCTTTCCCAATGGTTTACTTGTAAAAGCTGAGGGGAAAAATACATGAAATCTAACACAAGCCTCTTAGACGTAGCATTAGAGAGACTGAGACTATGCTATTATTTTGGTTTAAATCCTATTTTGGTGGTGGCAGAATCTTTTGTTTTCAAAACAATTCTTTGCTCATACATTAGTTGTCTGAAGCAGTGATAAGATTAATGTACATTAATCTCATTAATGACATAGCTGCGGCACTAAGTTGCTGTGCTAAAAAAAGTGGTATCCATTTGTTTGTTGAACTTTTAATGTTCATGCAATCAAATCTCTTGGCAACTTCATTGAAGTAGAGAAAGGCTATGGTTTTTTCTTTTTCGGTTTTAATCTATGGCCCCATATCTTCCATAGCAATGTGGTTTACTGATCTCAACTGCGATTCATTCTAAAGATAACGTTCTCCTCCTCCCTTTTGCAGCTTAACTTGAGAAATCTTGATTGCCATGCTCTGAGTTTTGGGACTGAATTCATATGATGACGTGCGATCCCACATCGGTTGAGGGAGAACGAAATATTCTTTATAAGGGTGTCGGAACTTCTCCCTAGCAGATGTGTTTTAAAAACCTTGAGAGAAAGCATGAAAGGATGGTGGGCTTTGGCGGTTACAAATGGTATTAGAGCCAGACATTGAGCGATGTGCGGCTGAGCTCCGAAGGGAGGTGGACACAAGGCGGTGTGCCAGCAAAGACGCTGGGCTCCGAAGGGGGGTAGATTGGATGGTTCCACATCGATTGGAGAAGGGAACGAGTGTCAACAAGGACGCTAGGGCCTGAAGTGAGGTGGATTGTGAGATCCCATATCAGTTGAGGAGGAGAACAAAACATTTCTCCCAAGCAGATGCGTTTTAAAAATCTCGAGAGAAAGCTTGAAAGGCAAAGTAAAAAAGGATAATATCTGCTAGTGAGCTTGGGCTATTACAAATCATTATGACACAGAAACGTTAAAGAGGTGAAAAATCTAGTGTCATCTTTTTTAAGTCGCTTTTGCAAGGGCTGAGAATCAAAAATTTACCTGCTTCTAAGAAAATGAGGATTCATAAAGTAATGTGCCCTCTAATGAAAAATCTAGTGAAATGCAGGATCATCTCCATTTTCTCAACCGTAAACATTTTTTTGGGGGGGAGAATCACCTTGGAGAGAGCAAATCAAGAGAAAGTGGTGATGGGTGAGTGAGACTGGCCATGCTCCAAACATACTAGCTGGCTTTGGTAGGCCCTCCCCAACAGTATAGGAATTCTAGAATGACGAGTGTCTGAATTTGGCTGGCATTGTTGGGCTCAGATTTGTATGTGCCATAAAACTTCACATACTTTCTATTTTTGCGCTGAAAACTTCCTGATATAAATAATTATTAGTGTTGTTGGATCTTACATTAAATTTAAAGGATCCTGACGTTTTTAGGTGTGATATGGGTGGAGCATGGACGAAACCGAACTGCTTTGGAATTTCACGAACTGGGGGCACCCTTCATCAGGCCGACTAGGTGAGTTTGTGCTTTGTCGAGCCTTTTTACCTTATTTTCAACTCACACACTAGATCTAGATGAACACAAAGAAGAGAAGAAAATTGGCTAGAAGTTTATATTGATGACTTCTAATTTAATCTACATATATACTTGTTTACTAAATATGTCATTTACCATATATAAATTTACGATGTATAACTCGGTCGTAGTCTCCATAAACTAACACGGCTCACCTAAACATATATATTTATAGCAATAATTTGAATTAGATTGAGAGATAAAAGAGAGTAGATAAGGGCAGATGAAGTGGTGAGCTAAAATCACAGGCTTGTGAACCCAAACCCATAAAGGCAAAAAGAAATCTCTTCTTCCTCTTCTTTCTTCACAAGTCACATGCTCCTTCTCCCCTTTTTCTTTCTACTAAATTCAAGAAAACTACATCCACCCATATTTCTAAACTTTCTCACTCTTTACCTTCCACATGTCCCTCTCTCATTTCTCACCGTCTTTGCAAACAAAACCCACGACCCGTTCATTAAACGGTATGTTAGGGAGTGACGCTCAATTAAAGGAGAGGTACACGAATAAATCGAGTCCACATCTTAATGAGACGATAGTTAAAAAGAGTTTAAAAGAATTGAAAGTTACTATCTATATCATACAATTTCTTTTTCGGTGTCTGAATCATGAAAACTTTCAATTTAGAGAAACATTTGTGACATTTGGATGATTTCAATGAAATAGCGTAAAAAAATTAGAAAAGGACATGCATTTAAAAAGGGAAAATTTGATAATTTAATTTATTTTTCTTTTTATAAAAGATTTAATTTAGTTAATATGATATTAGGAAGGATAATATAATATAATGTCACATATTTTATGTATACCTAATAAGTATTTTTTAATGATTTTTTAAAAAATAAAATAAAAAATGAAAGCAGTGTTACAAATAGTCAACTCCTAGACTGTCCGCTGCGAAGGGGTTTTCAGTGGCCGACGTGTAATGATTTATTTTAGTTTTTAATTATATTTCTTTTTTTTTTTTATCACAAAACTAAATTTTAAAACATATTTTTAATACTAAACTGTTTTGTTTAATGACTCATTTTAGTTTTTAATTCTAAACCAAATTATTGTTTTTATTTTTGTAATTATTTTGACATTAATATTCATCTCCTTAAATACATGCATACGTGAGCTTGGATTTATTTATTATAAATAAAATAATGGAAAAATTAAATAATTATATTTTAAAATTTATAGATTAAATATACATTTTCCACTATTTTTTTTTAGAGTTAAAAGATACCTCGGGTAAAAAAAAATCAAACTTTAATCTCTTGGTTAATGATATAGAGTCACACAAATTAAATACCCAATTTTTCTTTTAAAGTCGAACTTCTAAAATTTTATTAAATGTTGTAGACGTCTAATTTTAAGATGGAATATAAGATCAACCCGAGGGGTAAATTCGTCATTTTAACCCGCTCTAAATTGGGTAAAGAGAGTAAAAATTTGTAAGTTAATAATAGAAACTTCATTTAAATTTTAAACCAAATATGAGAGAAATTATATACAAAAAAAAGTTTTTTTTTTTTTTTTTTTTTTTTTTTTTTTTTTNAAAAAAAAAAAAAAAAAATTTTTTTTTTTTTTTTTTTTTTTTTTTTTGTCGCTACTCGCTTACACGTGCTTCGTCAACTTTCCCCTTCCCTTCTTTTGTTGTTACAGAGGCCGTTCAGTGCAAAATGCTTTCTCTTTTCTTCATTTGCCTTTCTGTTTCACTTTCTCTCTCTGGAAACGGGCAGTCTTCTGCTCTCTCTCTCTCTAGAAAAACCAGAGAGCCACTGTTCAATTGCAAGTTATCTCTTGGTATGTTTCTCAATAACCCATTTAATTGACTTTCCTTTACTATTCTTCTTCCATTTTAGTTCTTTCTTCAAGCATTGCTTCCAATTTCTCTAAATCTTTTCACTCTCCTACTTCAAACCGCAATTTACTAATCTGGGTCATCGCCATTTCTCTTCTTCGCACTTTTCTCTTCGATTCTGCAGGGGTTTCCCTCAATTTCTGTTTTCTGAAATACCCAATTGAAATCGTTGTTGTTTAATCGATCCCTCTGTGAGAAAGTGGGTACTGGGGCTTTGTTGCAGAGGGAAATGAGGGATGTTTTCGTGGCTGGCAAGGATGGCGTCGGCTTGTTGGAAACCAGTGAGGCGGTATGCCCGTATGAACAAGGATGATGATGAAGATTGTTCGTTAGAGGACTCTTTGTTGTGGAGCAGAGAGCTTGAAAAGCATTCTTATGGGGAGTTTTCTTTTGCTGTGGTTCAAGCGAATGAGGTAATTGAGGATAATAGTCAGGTTGAGGCTGGCCGTGATGCCACTTTTGTCGGCGTTTATGATGGCCATGGTGGCGCTGATGCTTCTCGCTTTATCTGTGATCATCTTTTCAGGAATTTAATGAGTGAGTGTTCAAGGGTTGTCTCTTTGCCTTCTCGTTTTGTTGAACTCTTTTGATTGTGTTTGGTTGATCTTCTTCTTGTTCTTCTTCTTCCTTTTGATCTTCTTGAACTTCTTCTGAATTTTTTTGGATTCTTGTGTTTGATTCTGAAATCTGTAGTCTGTGACATGCAGTTTCTTTTTCCATGGATTGTTGTTTGGGATTCCTGTTCTATTGGAGATTGACTTTGTGTAATCTGTTGATGATTTGAGCTCCACTCTTTATGTGAGATTCTATCTCGGTTGGAGAGGAGAACGAAACATTCTTTGTAAGGATGTGGAAACCTCTCTCTAGTAGATGCATTTTAAAAACTTTGAGGGTAAGCCCGAAAGGAAAAGCGCAAAGAGGACAATATCTGCTATCGGTGGGCTTGGGTTTGAGCTGTTACAAATGGTATGAGAGATAGATCAGGGTGATGTGTCAGTAAAGAAGCTCGCCCTGAAGGGGGTGGATACGAGACGGTGAGCCAACAAAGACGCTGGATCCTGAAGGGGGTAGATTGTGAGATCCCATATCGATTGGGGAGGAAAACGAAACATTGTTTATAAGGGTGTGGGCCTCTCCATAGAAGATACGTTTTAAAAACTTTAGGGGAAGCCCGAAAAGGGAAGCTAAAAAAGGACAATATCTAAGTGGTGGGCTTTGGCTGTTACAAATGGTATTAGAGTCAGGCTCTGGGTGATGTGCCTGTGAACAAATGGTATCAGAGTCAGGCACCGGGCGATGTGCCTGTGAAGAGGTTAAGCCCAGGGGGTGGACACGAGGCGGTGTGCCAACAAGGACAATGGGTCCCGAAGGGGGATGGATTATGAGATCCCACATTGATTGGAGAGGAGAACGAAACATTTTTTATAAGGGTGTGGAAACCTCTCTTAGCAGACACGTTTTAAAAACCTTAAGGGGAAGCTCGAAAGTGAAGCCCAAAGAGGACAATATTTGCTAGCGGTGGGCTTGGGCTGTTCATGGGTGCGGGATTGTTTGGTCAATTGTTAGAACTCAAAACTATGTCTCTCCATATCTTTACATTGGATTAGTTCTGTTCTAAATGCTTGTATAATTTTTTTGTTGTACTAATAATAGTATTTTATGCTTTGGACCATAGGGCTTGCTCAAGAACATGGAACCATAACCGAAGACACCGTCCGGAATGCATTTTCTGCTACTGAGGAAGGGTTTCTTACCCTTGTTCGTCGGTCTTGGGGTATCAAACCGACAATTGCAGCAATGGGATCTTGTTGCCTGGTCGGAGTTATCTGGAGAGGTACATTGTTCATCGGTAACGTTGGTGATTCCCGGGCTGTCATCGGTTCTTTAGGTAAAGCTAATAAGATAGTTGCAGAACAGTTGACAAAGGATCACAATGCAAGTATTGAGGAGGTTCGACAAGAACTCCGGTCCTTGCATCCCGATGACTCACATATTGTCGTTATGAAGCACGGAGTCTGGCGTATAAAAGGCATAATTCAGGTATCATATTACCAAAAACGTATATAATATAGATGCTACAAACGCTTCTATGTGGTCTGAACTTACATGTCTGTCCTGGCTTTTCTCTGTATATTGTTGGACATGTAAAAAGGTTTTAGGAGTACCTTAAAATTTACAAACCAGTTGTTGCTAAAACAGGACAACTTAGGAGTGGATTTCTGTTGTGTCCCTTCATGTGTTTGTGTTCTTGATTTGGTTTTCAATCATTGTGTGAACCAATGTTTTGAAAATTGAGTTAATATCATGCTCTCACGTCGATGGGCGTATCAGGTTTCCAGATCAATAGGTGATGCGTATTTGAAAAGGTCGGAATTCTCTCTCGATCCATCCTTTCCACGGTTCCACCTTGCCGAGCCTCTTCGACGACCTGTTCTTACTGCCGAACCATCATTAAGCACAAGAGTTCTACAACCTCATGACAAGTTTCTCATATTTGCATCTGATGGTCTTTGGGAGCAACTATCGAATCAACAAGCTGTCGAGATTGTGTATAAAAACCCACGAGCGGTACATTACGTTCTCTAGTACATAACTTTCATGTGTATAGTTTCATAGCAATAATCGAATCGCATTTTCGTTTTCTACAAAATCAGGGAATCGCAAAAAGACTTGTCAAAACAGCATTAACCGAGGCTGCAAGGAAGAGGGAGATGAGATATGATGATCTGAAGAAGCTCGAAAAAGGGATACGACGATTCTTTCACGACGATATCACAGTTGTTGTCATATTTCTGGACAACGAATTGCAAGGGAAGAAGGCACATGTACCAGAATTATCCATTCGTGGGTTCACCGACACGGTTGGACCATCGAATTTCAACATTCTTCAAGGCATCGATGAGAATGGAAGATCTGTTGGGTGAAGTTAAAAGGATGATGAGTCTGAGTCTGATTATAGAACACTCGTTTAGCAGCAGCTATTAGTTGCATTGGATTTGGATTTGGATTTGGGAGTTTTTGAAACATTTGGTTCGTTTTATCAAGCATCTTCTGTCTTCTTTTGCTCAAATTCCTTTTATGCAGAAAATTTGAGGGTTTTTTTTTTTGTCAGTGCTTTCAGATTTGCTCATTCTATGACCATAACTATAATATCAAATGGCTGGGGATTCATTTTGAATTGAACCTGGAGCTTTTCTGCTTCAGAAGTTTGAATAAATTTATTGGCTTTCGGGATAAGCTTCGAATAAATTTCTGACAGTTCGATTTGTAGCTGGTTAAGACATTGTAACAGCTTAAATCCACCGTTCTCTTTCAGCTTTTTCTTTCAAGTTTTTAATTCGAGTTCCTCTTCAAGATTTTTAAACTCGCTAGAGAGAGGTTTCCCTTAAGAATATGGTGGATAGGTTTCCATTACGATGGTGTGGAAACCTCTCTGAAAATTCGTCATGCCTGCTATGGAGAAATTTTTACATGGGGAGGCTGGACGGAGAGATTTTTACATGGGGAGGCTGACGACGGAGAGATTTTTACATGGGGAGGCTGACAACGACGATACACAACAATGTTCGACCGGCAATTTCATGGACTCTTTTCAATTTAGACCATTTTTAAAAGTGAGTTACAAAAATAAGTCTTTGACATCATAAGTTCTTTAAAAAATTTCCAACTCAATCAGAATCCAAATCTACAAGAAAACAGTACCCGTAAAAAAATCGAACCTTGGATGCTATTGGCTTGCTTCCATGTTCAATGTTCCAGCAGCGAAACAAAAGAGGGGAAGAACAACGCAGAATGAAATAACCATAAGAAACAAAGAATGGTGAGAACCGAAAAAAGGAAGACAAAATTTCGAAAAAGGGAAATAAGCAACCACTTGATAGAAAGCTCTTCCATCAGTTGAATAACGTGTAATATAGTATAAGTACCCTTTCCACCTTCAGCTTCAATAAATCAGAAGCATTTCCTGTGGACAATTGATGGCCCGGATTCATCATACTCCGCCTTAGCGATCCACATCTGCATTGGATGAGGAAAGATTGTGTTAAGTCGAGTTTCGATCGATGATCATCTAGAGCAATTAAATGTTTGAATCTCCAAGTAGATATGAACACATTTTAGATGTATAAATAATGTTTTACCTGTTGGAAAGTGCTGAGGGAAGCTAAAATGGAGCCTCCAATCCAGACACTGTACTTTCGTTCAGGTGGTGCTACCACTTTGATCTTCATGCTACTAGGAGCCAATGCAGTGATCTCCTTGCTCATCCTGTCAGCAATGCCAGTAAACATGGTGGAACCACCACTGAGGACGATATTGCCATAGAGATCCTTTCTGATATCGACATCACATTTCATGATAGAATTGTATGTGGTTTCATGAATACCAGCTGCTTCCATCCCAATCATGGATGGCTGGAAGAGGACTTCAGGGCATCGGAATCTTTCAGCACCAATGGTGATCACCTGTCCATCTGGTAGTTCATAGCTCTTCTCCACGGAAGAGCTGGTTTTTGATGTCTCCAGCTCTTGCTCGTAATCCAGGGCTATGTAAGCTAATTTCTCCTTCATATCTCTAACAATTTCACGCTCCGCGGATGTGGTGAAAGAGTAACCACGTTCAGTTAAGATTTTCATTAGACCATCTGTGAGATCACGGCCAGCCAAGTCTAGACGGAGGATGGCATGTGGGAGAGCATACCCTTCGTAGATTGGTACTGTGTGGCTGACACCATCACCAGAATCCATAACGATCCCTTCAAACAACCCACAATATACATACATGAGCACAAAAAGTAAGGCGCCATACAATTTTCATTTTCATTTCACAATAAATATCAAGTAACATAATTGCTCAACTATAGAAGATATCAAGAATACATATATTTTGATAGAAGGAGCCTTTTACATCAACTGAACATGTTAAGAAGGTAAACCGTAAACTGAATCAGAAAACTATACAAAGTCGATTTTTTTTTTTTTATAAACATCTTTAGTTTTCATCCATTTCCTTAATAAAAGAGAGACAAAAATACAAAACAGATAGAAAAAGGCAATAGATCTGCTTACCGGTTGTGCGACCACTGGCATAAAGGGAGAGGACGGCCTGGATAGCAACATACATAGCGGGGGTGTTGAAGGTCTCAAACATTATTTGGGTCATTTTCTCTCTATTGGCCTTGGGATTCAAGGGTGCTTCTGTGAGCAGAACTGGATGTTCTTCTGGAGCAACTCGAAGCTCGTTGTAGAAAGTGTGATGCCAAATTTTCTCCATATCATCCCAATTGCTAACAATACCATGCTCAATTGGGTATTTTAAAGTCAAAATACCCCTCTTCGATTGAGCCTCATCACCAACATAGGCATCCTTTTGGCCCATACCAACCATAACACCCGTGTGCCTGGGTCGACCGACAATGCTAGGGAATACAGCCCTTGGAGCATCATCTCCAGCAAATCCAGCCTACAGATAGTATCAGCAATTTTAAGCTTTACATGGTAACAATAGTAAGAAAAGGCGATTGTTTGGTAATGGAAGAACCCATTACAGAACAAAAAGTCTAAAACATGGTGAAACTGCAACGGGAGGTTCATGGACTTCGTATCAATACCTTGACCATCCCTGTTCCGTTATCACAGACGAGAGGCTGAATATCCTCGGAATCTGCCATTGTCTATAATCTGCAGAAGAAAATCACAAGTTATTGCTATAATTCAGATAAAAATTACTGATCATCAGCCAGATCAAACTCCTATATGAAAATAAAGATTCATTTCCAAACGAGATTTCCCACAATAAAATGCTAAAACAAACACGAAATTTTGGTTGCAAATTTTCAACTCCCGATCCAATTCTAGACAACCGCAGAAGAAAAAAATAAACCAAAGAAATGTAAACCATGACACATCGTCGTTCGTGAGCTGCTATTAATCAAATAATCCCAACAGCATTTTCTAAATAACTAAAAATCAAATCTAAACACAATACGGAAATAAAAAGGACATGATTAACACAATTCATCATACAATTCAACATACAATAAATGAATCGCCGCAGAAATTTTGCTCGATCATCATATCTGAGCTGATATTAATCACAGAATCCACCAGCATTTACCAGTAACGAGAAGAAAAATAAAAATAGACGTGATTAATACAATTCAACGTACAATAAACGATAACGACACAAACGTTGCTCGATACTCGTATCTGAGCTGATACGAATCACAGAATCAGCGTTGCCCAAATTAATAAATAAATGAATCAGATCTAAACACAATGCGGATGTAAAAACAGACATGATCGTCACAAAACAACATACAACAAACGTATCACCGCAAATATTTTGCTCGATCATCATTTCTGAGCTGACATTAAGCACAGATCCATCGACATTTCCAAAATAACAAAAAAAAATCCAATCTAAATCCAATGAAAAACAAAAATAAAAACAGACAAGACAATATACGAATCACCGCAAAGTTTGGGCTCAATCATCATTTTAGAGCTGGTATTAATCAGAGAATCCACCGGCATTTCCAAAACAATAAAGAGAAATTCCAATCCAAACACAACGCAGAAAGAAAAAAACAAGAGTGACCATCAAAGCAAAACAACATACAATAACACGAAGACAAGATGAAACAGTTGCGTCTCGGGATTCAGACAATATCCTCCTGGGAGAAAATCAAAATCTAAAATCAAAAACCAAAAGAAAATGTAAGAAATGATCGATAGGTGATACCTTTGAAATCAGGAAAGCTTCGAGCTCTTGAAACTGTAGAAAGGTGGTGGCAGTGGCAATGGCAATGGCAATGGCAATGAACAGAGTCTCGAGAGAGAAAGAAACTACCCGCCCCTCTCCCTCGCTTTCTTGTTTTTAAAAAGGAATTCAAAAAAGCAAACGAACTCCCATCATTACCTTTCCGCAAATCCTGACCGTCTATTTGGAATCTCTGATCTACGGTCTCCTTGCACGCGTCACTTTCTCTTGGATCCAGCTGTCTAACTTTTCGGTCTTCGCCTTCCCCTGGACCGTTTTGCCCTTCTAACCCGACGATCCCCACCTTTCGTTGACCACGCCTAAATTCGGAATTTACACTTTTAATTACATTTCTTAATATTCTTTCAATAAGTAATTATAAATTTTCATTTATTTTTCGAAAAATGGCTCACTTTTACAAATTAATTCAATATCAAAATATAATTTTTTTATGTATAGAAATTATTATTATAGCTAAATACATATTTTTACTATTATTTTAATTATAAATGTATTATACACTAATGTTTATAACTCAACTTAATCTTGATTTTTATTTCTTTCAAAAAAAAATTTAGTATAAAAAAAAAACAATTAATTCTTTTACCTTATAAAATTGAAATTAATATTTAAAAATACACTCAAACGAACTCCTATATTGTCGTTGTTTTTTTAGTAAATTCACATATGCCCTTATTTGTTAATTAAGAAAGCGAAAAAACAATAACTTGTCATTTCTATCTTTTTTTATTTATTTATTATTATTATCTTTAAAAACAAGAGGCCATGAATTTTATTTTTTTAAAATATTTATATAAATGAGAACTGACACTATATCTAAATGAGAGCAATCTTAAAAATAGAATAATTAAAATAGACTTAAAAAATTGAAAAATAGCTCAAATTTTATAGATTAGTGTGACTATTTGAGTAATTTTATGTTAGGTGACCTCCTAAGAATTTTTTTAAGAATGATGTGAGTGTGATCAAATTATGCTGAAATGACTCATATTGGTATATGAAAATAGTTTTCACTCTTAGAAACGAGGAATAAGTAACCTGACCATATTTGAGAAGAATATCAATGGTCTAATTCATATTTAAAATATATACAGAGTTAAAAAATATATTAAATGTAATTTTTCAATGACGTAAAAATTACACTATTTTTGAAGTGCTGTAAATATTTTGGGATTTAACTTTGAGCTCGAACCCACCCCTACCCCATGCCCGCAGTCGCTGTTGTTGGTCGGAGCAAAAAGAGTTCAATTCATTCAGCACCAGCCTCCATCACTGTTCTTCCTGCTTTGTGGAGCCTCATTTTCGGGTTTTAATCGATTGGTTTCCACATGATGAACAGCGGCGGCATCAAAACGGTGCTCCTAAATCCCAAATCCGATTGTTTTGGGTTGAGAACTGCTTTCTTTCACTCTACGCCTGTCCTCGATCGCAAAAGACGCAATCATTGGGACTCTGTGAGTTTCTTTTCTGATGCATGTATGCGGTTCTTAATCTCGTATGGTCTGTGATGATTGCTTTATCTGCATAACAATATTGCGGAGGAGACCAAATTTTTGCAAGGAATACGTATGTTACGTTGTTCAAATTAGTGTATTTTGGTCTTTTATCTATCTTATCTGATGCGAAACTGCAGATTTTGCATATACTGAGCTGGGATCTTTTGTTTTTGTTTTATGGAGAACTTGGTGAATCTAGGTCGAAATGGTTTTAGTTTTAGTTGGGTAGGAGGCTTTCAGAAGCTGCAACAATTGGTTTGCTAGAACCATTTCTAAATCTTAGAGCAACACAAACGCTTGAAAAGTCAGATTACATAAATAATCAGAAATACCTTTATACGGCCTCCAGCTCCCCGTAGCATTCAATCACCAACTCCCAATTCTAGCTCATCAACACTTTATGAACGAGTTAAATGTAAGGACTTATTAGTTAGATTTCTGTAAGCCATAACTAGCTCACGAACACTCTTTAGGTAGATTTCTGTAAAATTCCCTTTTCATTAGTAGAGAAACAAGATGATATGTTGTTCAGAGGGCCTTCGAGGGGGTGTGGTGCGGGGCTCATTTCAACACAACGCCTCATTTTAGGTATTCTCGTCCTAGAGCAACATCTTGCAATTTTTATCAATTTTTTTGGTTTGCTCCCTAATTGGGCTCTTCTCTGTAACTTCGTCATTCGTAATGAAAGCTCGTCTCCTTTACAAAATGAGAAAAAAAATTTCTCATTCAGTTATCAAGGAAAGGGTTTCAAAGGTAAGAAAACAGAATTCTAAAGAAAGACCGAACATTTGCAACAGAACTTAGAATGCCTGTTTTTTTTTTTTTTTTTGTAAATTGTCGTTTCATTTCTTTTTCTCACTGAAAACGAATCCCGAATTTTCTTTGGGGTTAGCACTGCATCACTGTCAATCTTTCAATGGTTAGATTTAATTTATCTTTCTAGACATCAGTTAATTGAGTTTTTGTAATTACCAGCTTGGTGTCATTCTCTTAGAATGATGCCCTTTTTTTGTAATTAACTTTGGGGTTTTTTGTATGCCTTTGTACATTCTTTGATTGAAGCTTTGCACTCTTAACTCCTATAGCTGTGGATCAACATTTTCATCTTCTTTTCCCTTTATTCTTGTGATATAGTAACCTGGCCGCTAACTAGTTAATCAAAATGAATACTCCTTTCAATAAACCTCTTAATTCTATACGTTGTACTGATATGTGTACACTTTTCCGCAGAGATGCAACCATTACACGAAGAGTTTTAGAAGGATTAATGCAAAACAAACGTTGCTGCGCAATGTCAATGCCTATGCCGAATTCCTCTTTCAGGTTGCATTAGTTGCCTGTTAACTTCACTGCTCAATTTTTTTCCATTATCTACTTCTTCATTGAAATCAGCTTTCAATACTTTGTTCATAGGAGATAGGGTCCCATTTACAATTACCGGGAGGAAAACGACATTTTCCTTTATGTAGGGTTCATAAAATTCTATTAATTCATGATAAGGATATAAGTGACCAACTGGCTCAATCAAGCTTCAAAAGAAACTTATTCTCAAAGTTAACGGAAGTAAACTCAAATTCAAACTAAGGCGTCGTCTACTCATGGTGAAAACATGCATTCGTTTTAACTTGATAAGGCACCTATTCGTTAAAGAGGCTTAATTAGTCTAATTCCAGATTCGTTCTCATTTTTCTAATGCATATGTACCTTTCAAATCATGCATTTTCACGTAAGAAGGTTCTTTAATGGACTTCAAAGGAGGTTGGCTGAATTTAGATTAGATGGACCAAGAGTTGTGTCCTTTCATTGCGTCTTTTCAATTAGTATAAATAGAGATGTAATTTTTTCATTTGAAGAACAATGCGAATGAAATTTCATATCAGTTTTAGTCTCTCTCAAGCTTGAAAGTAAACATTCAATGCTTCTTTTAGTCTTTTAGCTTGAATGATTGATCTTTGTGGCATAATGGTTGGCTACTCATTATTTTAAATTTTAAGTTTACTCCTGTTCTTCAAAAGAATTTTCGCATCATCCGTATATTATTGCTTTTGGAGTTTCAGAGTTGGCAGGATGAGGGTGAGACGAATGACCCTTCCTCGAGCAGAGGCACTTCTTGGTTTAAAAGGCAGTACTCACAAGGGGGCTCTAAACGAGAAAGGACCAACCAGAGACCACGGTGTTGGGGCAGAAGTTAGTAACCTCTTTATTACATATCTTCAACAGTATTAATGTATATATTCAAATTTTTTATTCGTTTTTACCATCAAGAAGCTGAAGTCAGAGTTGGAAACCATAATTGTTTGCTGCAAGTGAAAGTAAAAGGATTATTGAGGCATGAACCGCAACACTTGAGCAACTTTTAGAAAACAATTTTCACTAAACTTTTGTCCTAATTCTTCTTCATTAGGTTTTGAGTTTACTGAAGATGATCCTGACATTGAGACTGTTTTCCGATCTGCATTTGGTGGAAACCGGTCTTACTATTGGTCTTTTATTAATGAAGAAAACCCTCAATGGAGGAGCTCAACAAATTACTCTAGTAACTATGGAAGATCTTGGAACTGGCGTTATAGGGTCGATGAAGATTATGATGACTCCTCGAACGAATATGAGGACTCTGATGCTAATTTGGCGTCGCATAGGCTTGTTCTTGGACTAAAAGCATCTGGCCCACTCAAACTTCAAGATGTTAAAAATGCGTGAGCATACGTTTCGATTGCTTAGACTTTGTTTCGTACGGGTGTAGCATTCTGTCTTATCTTGTGATCGAGACTTGAGCTGCTTGCAGGCTTTCTCTTGAATCTCTTCTTATTTTTTTACCTCTTCCAATTCATAAATTTTTTTCCTTCAATTTCAGGTATCGAGCATGTGCACTAAAATGGCACCCAGATCGTCACCAAGGTTCCTCCAAGGTAGTATCATGCTCCACCTCAAACCCCCCCGATTAGAAAAGTCGAAATAACATTGGTTTCAACAATAACTTCCTCGACTTGCAAATCTAGCGTAATATCAATCGAATAACCATCATTGCATTGGTTACTGGAAACTAATTGAGCTAAGCTTAAATCTTTTTGTGTTCATAAATCTGATCAATGTACTTGAATTTAGGTGATGGCGGAGGAGAAGTTCAAACTTTGCAGCGTGGCATATCAATCTCTGTGCGACAAGTTAGCGGTAAATTAAGGATGATAATCTTAATAACCCCCATATGCATCCAACATGCCAACTTATTGCAGTTCATAGGATGTTGTCACACAAGTAGAACCTTTTTCTTCATATATGATATGAGAATTTTCATGCCTGTAGTGTTGGTTATATCTCTATATTATTGTTGGGGGCATCGAGTGCCGACTGTTTTGAACGACAACAATACCATTGTATCGAGTTTTTTGTTTAAGAGCATCTATAATTATAGTAGTAAGAAATAAGAACATTTAGACATTAGATATCATTCCTTTGACAATCCGGGATGGGAGACATCTGAGCGATTGCCTTTGTGGATCCAAACAAAGGGGCTTGCCAAAACAGCTGACCGAGATAGGTTTAACCAGAATGGCGTCTCTATGTAGTGATTTACCCCTAAAGCAGATGAAGGTATGCTTGTTCTATCTTCAGGTCACATCTCAACTTAACCATCTGCGGATTTAGAACGTTCATAGCACTTCAAGCTTGACTTTTGTAATCTAACATTGATGTCTGAGTATTTGATTTTTCAATTCCTTTTGACGAGCTTGTACAATTTCAATTGTCAATTTGCTGAAAAGACAAGGAAAAATGTTAGTAGGACAATTACAAAAACTACACTTGAACTTTAACGTTTGTTGCAATTACGTTTCTGACCTTTTAATTTGATCGATCATCATTAACAAAGTTCGAGGGGTTGTATGATCAGATTAATAATAGTTGAAGGGCGTGATGGTAACAAACCACATAGATCACGTGTAGTTTGAGTAATTTTTCCTAAAGATATCATAGTATATAACAACCGACTTCCTAAAACTCTAGATCGACCATAGCTAGCTGGTTATTGTATGCATGCTTACGCCATTTAACAAGCAAGCAAATTCTATTGGAGTTATATGTACAATAGATATCGAAAAATCAAGATTAATCAAGATAATTAATTTATAAGTGTAAAAAAATAAAAAAATTCAACTCATTTAGAAAATAAATGTCATCAAATTCTAATTAATATATATTAACTGCATCATTCATTTACGGGACCAATTTTAAACCATTTTTCAACTAAATGAATATATCATTTCGTTTTTTTTTTTTTTTTAATTATTTGAAGGCGCCGTGCAAAAACGTTCCATTTTGGCTTTTATCCAAAGCCAAGTTCATATTCGTTTACTTGCAGCCATCGCCACTGTCTCTTTGTTTCCCACCAATTTTGTTTTCTTTCGTTCTATTTCACTATTCCAATCCGAGTTTGGAACTCGGGGATTAAAATGTGAGGTTTCTGTGTGCAATTTGAAGGTTTAATGGTTTTCAGGGATTTGATTTCGTAGCTTTGAAGTTGTGTGTAGGGAGAATCAAATTTCCCTTGTAAACTATGGATAGGATTGGATCCTTCAATCACCATACTGCAACAAATGATTTCCAGAATTCTTGTAATAGGGATACCGAATTTGGCGCCAATTATAGGAGGTTCGCTTTCTCACGTCAAGCTTCGTCTATGCAATGGCAAGAGCCGTCCCATACACCGATTTCTACCTACTCCGATGAGTTGGCCAAGCCTTTGCTTTCGCGGAGTATGTCGAGCATAAACATTCCGCCTGGGAGATACTTTTCTTCCGAAAGTAATTTCTTCTTTGGTGTAAAGGATAATTCAGGTGATAAATTATCGGTTTTATCACTCGCATTTTCGATTTTAGAGAATGTGAGATCTGGGAATTTGTATATGAAGAGGTTGTTTATTATGATTTTTCTCAATGTCCTGTATTCGACTGCCGAGTTAGCTATTGGTCTCCTTACTGGCCGTATTGGTATGGAGTCTACGGACGTCACTATCCTTTTACCCCTTTTAATTTGTCTTTCTGTATGTTGAAATTTACTCGTTTATGTGAGTAATTTATCTTGTTTTCTTGTGTCTTCAGGCCTGGTTTCTGATGCATTTCATTTGACTTTTGGCTGTGGTCTTTTGACATTTTCATTGTTTTCCATTGCTGCCTCTCGGAGTAAGCCTGATCATGTTTACACTTACGGGTGAGTTTGTGAGATATCCAAAACAAAATTGCAAACAAACATACTTTTTTACCAGTTTGCCAAACTTTATTTGATTAATAGAGATGGTTAACTGTTGTGATTTCTCTTTCCAGGTACAAGAGACTAGAGGTTTTGGCTGCCTTTACCAATGCTGTAAGTATTCAAAATTTTACACGTGTAAGCATTTTTATTGTTCATACCACTCTTCTGTTTGAAGCTCTCCTTTTCTGAGCGATGATTGATGTTCATGTTCTTTTGATCTCTCAAGTTTATGTATTTGTAGCACTCTCAAGTCTTATGAGTTAATTACCTCGAAAGTTATTTCTTTGTTCTTTTGTTTTCAATAAGAAGTATATTTGTGCTTTTCAATATTCATAACCGGATATTTTAATGGAACCGAAGCAGTAACCTGATTCTTAAATGGACAACACCTCGAAGGAGCAGAGTGATGTTTCACTTTGAACTTCAGTTTTAGTCTTTTTGACGCTAATTTCCATTCATGGTCACAGTTTATTCTAGCTGTTCTTCTGAGTTTTCTAGTTTCCTAACCTCTTGAAGTGATTTTATTTGTTTGCATACATCTTACAAATTATGTAATTTTAATTCACTCTTTTTGCTATCTGGACATTTACTACTCCGTTGCCGTGTAGACAGCTATTTCTTCTGTTTCTGTCTTTCTCGTTAGCAGTGGAAGCACTCCATGCATATAAACAAGATGAATCTGAGCACAAGTAAGTACTTCCCATAAACATTGATTTGGAGATGTAGTATAATTGTGGAATACAATCTAGAAGTTTTTCTCCTGTAAATTCTTTGGTAGTAGTCTATTTTGCTGGTTTTAGGCTCTTTCCACTTATCCGTATCCTTGAATGTAGGTTCCTAATTTTCCCTTTTGTACCTTGGATGCATTGACCTCGATGTCGTGCTTTGTAGGTGTTTTTGTTTTGCAAAGTTTTGAACTTTTCAGTTGATTGTAATTTTTAGCTGCCAGGATTCATGTCCACAGGACATGCCTGTTAAGTTTATTATGAAAATGTTTTGCATTTTTGTTGCTTGTTTGTGTTCAGTGCGTTAGGATGTGCTGGTATCCTAGACTCTTTGATTCAGATACTCTTAGTATATCTATTTATTCTTCACCATTTGGCTGTACGAGCAAGGAAACAGATTAAATTAAGTCATGCATTTATTGATCCAAAGGGTTTTCATATAACTTATCGAATAATCAACACTTAGACTTGCATATGTTTGGCAGAATTTCCCAAGTGATTTTGGATGACTAAAAGTGTTTTTTCTAAAATTTGCAATGTTTGGTAACCAATAAAAATCACTTGTAAAAAAGCCAAACTGATTTTAAAATATTTTTTAAAGAAACACTTGAAAGTTGATTATCTCATAACCTAACCTATTCTACAAATTTATAGGCTTTTGTTTATCATATCCAGATTTATAGGATAGCATTCTGTAACATAAAGGTGGACTTATTAAATGAGTTTATGTGGTTATGTTTTGTGGTATTAGTACTCTGCATATCTGATAGTTATTTTTACCTTGCAGGCACTACTTAATTGTCTCAGCCGTAACAAATTTAATGGTTAATCTTATAGGTGTTTGGTTCTTCAGGAACTATGCTCGCATTAATCTTGGTCAGTCTCCTGTGTTGACATCATCTGATTAGTTATAGTGGTTTTTTTCCCCTCTCTAACTTCCATCCATTGTTTTTGAAGTACTTGATGCAGTTATGTACTCTCCTAGTCTCCCTGGATTTTTCATATAACATGCCCATTATATATTCAAGAACTATATTGTATTCGACATTTCCGTTCTTAGTATCTTCTTACCAAACATCAATAGTTTCTCAAGTTCATCTATGTCATATCCAAGATGATCTTAATATTTATTGGCTTATCATCCAAGCTGTCAGGTCTGTGATTATGATGATTTTCTCATCCCTGGATTATTGCTTTTAGTGTACAGAAAAGCTGAAGATATGAACTACCATTCAATTTGCTTGCATGTTCTTGCAGATTCTATCCGCAGGTAAATTCTATTCTCCTCCGCTCTCTTTCTTCCTTCATTTCTACATGCCTGCTTTCTCTTTTAATAACCATGTGTGAATATGCTTGCTTTTTCTGAATATTAATCTTATTTTAGCGATGTTTATCTTTAAACAATGTTTGTCGTTGGTTCTCAGTGCAGGTCTGATATTGGCGTCATGGTTTTTGTCTCTTGGGTAAACTACCATACACAAACTGATCCTTTCTTTCAAGTTAGTTGCTTCAACTCTAATCTTATTTGGGACCTTCTTTGCAGGGTTCAAAATGCTGAAGTCTTGTGCCTAGGACTGGTTTCAGTTGCAGTCTTTATGATTGTCATGCCGCTCTTCAGAGCAGCCGGTGGTGTTTTACTTCAAATGGTACCACCTAGCATTCCAACTTCGGCATTAAGCAAATGTTTGAGACAGGTTTGTGATAAGCATGCATTTTATCATTTGCTACGGAAGTTGTGAAGTAAATTGGACCATGAAGACTTCTTTGAGATTTTTTTCATACTTTTTCATTAAACCGTGAGTTCCATAATTTCTTTTTTGTTCTTCAAACCTTTTTCCATTAACCTTTCTCTGTGCTCGCTAATTCTCTTAAAAATTGTTTTATCCCATCACATACTTTTTACCACTTGGAGTCTAGAACCTAGATCAACCCATGGGATTCTCTCAACATTTTTGTACTATGTTTTCCTATGTATTTGTGTTGCTTTTTCTAATTGAAGTTTCTACTTACTTTTTCCTAAAAAAGAAATGTTGAATCTGAACTATAATCAATATACGGGTAATTAAGATTTAAACTCGTATAGTTTGTCTATTTTGCAAACTATATTCTCATGTCTTAAAAAAGGTTGATGACTTACCATATGAATGAATCAAATGTCTAATGGAGTTGATACATCTGGCTTATTCTGCGGGTGTCAAGTTCATGAAACCTTAGGGACAGAAAGATATGCTTACATTTTCATAAACCACTTAATGTTTGGAACCTTTTTTAAAACATGGGTATGATTTTCAAATAGACGAACCATAAATGGGAATGGTAAGACACATATGCAAAAGAAATGATCAAATGAAAGTTAATGTTCACATTTTTATATTTTATCAGATTACATCCTTGGAAGACGTATTAGAAGTCACTCAAGTGCGATTTTGGGAATTAGTACCCGGTCAAGTTGTTGGCTCACTCTCTCTAACGGTATTGTTAGGCATGTTAACATTTATCTGAATTTTCAGTTCTGATATTGGTGAAATCACTGTTTACAGATAAAGAAAGGAACGGACAATCGCCAAACACTTGAATTTGTGCATGGTGTGTATCATGAATTGGGCATTCTGGAGTTAACAGTGCAAATGGAAGATGCTTGAGTTTCTGCTGCTCCATAGTTCTTCTCTAGGCTTATGATAAATACCAATTATCTCAAACATGTTCCTCAGTGTTGATGGTAGTTGATAAATAATCTCTTCTTTCTCCTCTCTCCCTCAGCACATCCCACATCTTGCATCATAATAGAATTTATGTAAAGTAATTGTAACCTTATTGATAATTATAGTGAAATTTTGTTTAGTATTATGAAAATTGATTACAGGATTATGATTAGTTGTTTTCTTACTTTCTGATGTAATTTCTTGAATTTATAGTTCGGTAGTCTCTGAATTTATAGTTTGGCACGTCTTCAGATCCTCAAGAACATGCTAGTCATTTTGTAGTATCTGCTGGGACAAATATAGGGATAAAGATTGTTTCCATTGCTACCACAAAGAAAACTAAATACAATTCTTTGTTTGAATGTTTTTTAGTATCCTCGAGTATTTGGAGTAGCTTCCATGTACCTTGATTATTTTCCTAGGACAACCGCCTCACCTTTTCACATTTAGTTGCCAGAGTAATTTTATCTTCTGATTTTCATATGATGTGGCTAATACTTTCATAGGCTTCAAGGGAAGGGTGACATCCAAAGCTATGGTGAGGTGTTTATGGGCAGAGGAAGGTCCCAGGTACACAAACTATACATTCATTCATCAACAACACAGGTGATTTGTTTGATGATACTCTTACTATGCTTTAATACAAGCCATTGGGCGTAAGATTTCACTACTCATTAATTCCTTTATGCTATGACTGTTTGATTAGTTTAGAAATCATAGAAGAATGTTGTGATGCAAGGGATCCATAAACTTGTAGTTCTAGGTTTCATGTACCATCACATTGGGCTGCTCAAGGCAATGATATAATGCCTACTTGCTAAGCATGGATTCATGTTTCATATCAAACTGCAATAACTTTTGAAATAATTGATGTTAGTTTTGCTTTTAAGAAAATCAAACTCTCATATGAAATAAATTTGTATTTAGTAAATTTTAGATTACATTTTGTTTACTTTCTATAGGATCTAAACACTGTCTATATACTATAAACAATAATTATGATCATCTTCCAGAAAGCTCTGTAAATGGAGTGAGCTGGCTGTCTTTGAGAGAGCTGTCTGTGTCGTCCTTGAAGGAAGGAGGCATGGGAGGCCACACAAATGAAGGCCTCTCATCGGGCAAAATGGGTGGATTTGCCTCCCCTTTAAGCACTTGTAGAACATTCCTCATGGTTGGCCTTTGAAGAGGATTGGGATGGCAACAAGCCAAACCCAGAATCAATAGATACTCTATTTCTTCTCTAACGAATTGTCCTTCCAGCCTTTCATCCACAGCTTCAACGAGCCTTTGTTCCTTGTGAAACTCCCATACCCAGTGCGCTATACTGCCATCATAGCTCCCAAGGTCCATTGGATTTCCAGGCCTTCTTCCACATATAACTTCTAGGACTAGAACTCCAAACGCATACACGTCTGTTTCTGCCGTAACTCTACTGGTTAGGAAAATCTCTGGAGCCATGTACCCTGGTGTCCCTGCTATCTCTCTTGTTGAGTGATGCGTTTGGTCGGTTCGATGCATCGTTCGAGCCAATCCAAAATCTCCCAACTTAGCTTCGAACTTGGAATCCAACATGATGTTTGAAGATTTAACATCTCTGTGCAGCACTGTCTTCTCGCACCCATTATGAAGATAATCCAAAGCCTCAGCCACCCCACAGATTATGTTCTGTCTGGTTTCCCAGCTGGACGCACCCATCTTGTCACACCCAAATATCAGCTTGTCCAAGCTGCCGTTGGGCATGTACTCATAAACCAGAAGAAGATCCCTCTTTTCGTAGCACCATCCAATTAGATTTACAAGATTCTTGTGATGAAGGCTACCAATGGTAGCAACTTCTGCAATGAACTCTTGCTTGCCTTGACGCGAGTCCTCTGAGATTTTCTTCACAGCGACGTCTCTGTTCATCAAATTTCCTTTATAAACCGTTCCAAAACCACCTTTCCCAAGGCCGTTCTTTGGGTTGAAATTACCAGTAGCCTTCTTTAGTTCTCTCAATCCGAACTTTTGAGCTCGTGGGGCTATGGAGATGTGTTGAAGCTGATGCTCTATCCCTTCATATGGCTCTTCTGGATAATTCAATACTCTTTTCCTCATCCAGAAATGGTAGACAAGGCCAATAACAGCCCCACAAATCACCACACCTCCAACTACACCCACTGTGAGCCAAATCCAGAGGCGTTTATGTCTTCCATCACTAACATCAGTTCCATTGAATTGCCATGATTTCACACAGTTCAACTGCGTGAAATCGCTCGTCGAGCCTGAAAATCCCACGTAAACATTATCCGGAAGAATTGAGAGGTTCAGTGCCTGGAAAATGACGTTGTTTTTCAACAGATCCTCTGTTTTGTTCGACATGGAAACGAACACAGAAATATTCTCTCCATCGTACCGAATCATCGCGAAAACAGAGATCCCAGATGAAAGATTAACCCCAAATTCCGATAATGGCTGTTCAATGATCGAAAAAACACTGTTCAAATTCAAACCCACATGGTTGCTATCGATATCCTGTGGGAAATTTTTCCTGGTGTCGAATTCAACCGCCACAATTTGCGCCTCTGGAGTGCCATTTGTTGAGGCATTAACAATCCCCAGCCACTGGCCGTCGCTGTCACCGGGACGAGAACCATCGGCAGCGAGAATGAAGGCCAACCCCTCGCCGCCGACCGGCGTAGACACTGGGCTGATGTTGAGCTCGAATGTCGTGTTGAATGACGCGATTTTGCCGTTGTTTCTTATTAGAAATGGGACTTTGTAAACGGCCCTGCCGGATTCATTGGCGATCGAAGCTACTCTAACGTCCGGCGTGACTTGAATGGCGTCTTTGAAGATTTTTGCATTGTTGGACAGTTTGAGGTGCTCGGTACTGTTATTGGGGAAACTTGGGAAGTTGAAATAGAGGCACCGTGTGGGGACGACGGCGCCACCAAAGAAGACGGCGGCGACGAGCAGTAGGATTCTGATCTTTGCTAGAGAAGAACTCATTGTTGGTCCGTGGTAGTGGCTGAAACAACGGGTGGTGGCTTTTTACAGAGAATCCATTGGGTTTGGATTTGAAGGGTCAAACAAGAAGAATTGAAACAATGATGTTTGAGGAATTACGACAAAAATTCCATTTTTTATTCTGACTTTGGGAAAAGGATTGCTACAAAATTGCATCGTGGAAAAAAAATAAATAAAAATGAAAAACTCAATTCAAACTCAATTCCATTATTTATTATTTTTTGTTTTTTGTATTTGGAAAATTATTTATAGAAATTAAATATGTAATTTACAATTGGGTCTTTGGAAACTTATGATTTTATATTCTCAAGTCCTTTCCCTTCCCATTCCCATTTATTATCGATAATGAAGTTTTATATTGTAGTGTTGTCTCACGGAATCGATGCAAACCAATGCCAAAATGGAAAAATAATTTACGTAAAATACGCGATAAATAAAAAAAATATGCTAGCCATGAATTATTAAAAGAATGGAAAATTCATACAAAAACAAAATTTTATCCTAATTTTTCCACGGTCCCAATAGTAGAAGTCTTCGAATGCCTACAATTTAGTTTTTATCAACAAAGAAAATAAAATAAAATAAAATATTTACATAATAAGTGACCCTACTAATAGAGCTCATCAATTACGACTTAGACTAAGATGTCTCTGGTGGGACCTAAACTCGACATCTGAGTTCTCGCTTCTTTTCTTTCCTCAAGATGTGCATCACTTTCATGTATTCCAAACCCACTAGACGAGCTCAGAAAAATCACTTTCATGCACTCTAGTTCTCTCTAAATGTGCATAACTTTGTATACATTAGCCTTACGTATATCACTTTTACGTACGGTAGTTTCCTGACAAGCATTACTTTTAATTATCAACTTTATGAAAACGTCTAAATCTCAAAAGAAACAAAAAACATAAAATAAGGAGAAGAAGAATGGTTATGCAAAACTTGTGAAATACGTTAATTTAGGGTTTATCTACATGAAGCAATGAATAAGACTTTTTATTATTTCTTAAACTATTCATAGTAATTAAACACCAATTTGATGATTATTAATTAACTATATGCTAATTGTTATTTTCAACATACGCAATTGACAATTTATTTATAGTATTTGTAATGCACACATATATTAATTCCTTTCTATCTCTCATTACTTTATAATTTTAAGGAAAATATTCATCTAATATTTGAATCAATAATAAAATTATTAATGAAAAATCATACCACAAAAATAAAACGTACCAAAATGATCTAATTACGTATTAAAACACTAAATTATATTTGATTATTTAAATTATTTATCGATTATAACGATGTTTTAAACGTGATTTGTTTTTTAAACCTATTCTACAAGGTTAAGTTGCAGAATAAGATCAACCAATCAAAAGAATATTACTTGTTACAGCTCAAACTCACCGCTAGTAAATATTGTTAAGAAACGTTAGATACTGGTTGGAGTAAGGCTCGACCTTCTCTATAATAGATGTGTCGTGACCCTTTTTAAAATTTGTTAAAGAAAAATATTGTTATGAAAGCTTAAAATAATCGAAAAGAAGAATTTTTTTAATATATATGTTTGAAAATAAGCATATTTGAATTGAAATAATTGAACGACATAATGCATACAATATCTATAGAAATCATATAAATAAAGCATGCATTAATTATATTGACACAAGAGAACTCAAGTTAACAGACGCCATCATCTTGGCCATCTCGTTCACAATCTGCATCTGCATCTGAAGCTCACGCAGCTCCGCCTGCGCCTTCAGAATCGGATCCACCAACACCACCGTTGGACTCTCTTCTACGGCTGCCGGTGCTCCACCGGTACCCTCCTCCCCAACCGTCGCGAACTGCACGTACGAATCATTTCTCACGCCACCAACTGGCGGCTCAGCCTCGCCTGTGGCACAATAGGTATGAACATGGAAGTTACAAGATGAGCAACTGTAACCCCAATATTGAGACTCGAGTTGAGATGTTGCGGTAACATGGTGCAATCATCGTGAAAGTCAATGTCGTAGAGGATGCCAGAAGGTGGTGCCAGTGGCACCGCAGGGATTGCAAGGGAAGGAGCCATCAGGGTAGGTCGAAGAGGGGAGGAGGGTGAGATGGTGGGAAGGGTGAGAGTGAGCAGATAAAAACAGACAATATCTACTAACAGTGGGCTTGGATTGTTACAAATAGTATCCGAGCCAAGTTTCGGGACGTGTGCCACCGAGGATGTTAGCCTCCTAATGGGTAGATTGTTAGGTCCCACATCGGTTGGAGAAGGGAACAAACATTTCTTACAAGGGGTGTGGAAACTTGTCCATAGTAGATGCGCTTTAAAATCGTGAGACTGACAACAATACGTAATGAGTCAAAACAGATAATATCTATTAATAATGGGGTTTGAGCTGTTACTAATGGTATTCGAGCCAAGTTTCGGGCAGTGTGTCACCGAGGATGTTAGCCCCCTAGAGTGGATTGTTAGGCCCCATATCAATTGGAGAGGGGAACAAATATTCATAAGAGGGGTGTGGGAAACCTCTCCCAGATACCCTTTAAAATCGTGAGGCTGACAGTGATACGTAATGAGTCAAAACAGACAATATGTACTAGCGATGAGCTTTGACCATTACAAATAGGTTGAGAACCAGGCACGGGGTGGTGTGCCAACGAAGACACTAGGTCTCCGATAGGGTGGATTGTGAGATCTTAGATCAGTTGGAGAGGAGAACAAAATATTTGTTATAGGGCGTGAAATTTCTCTCTATCAAACCCGTTTTAAAAATCGTGAGGCTGATGACTCCTTTATTCTATAATACAAATTTTTGAATGGGAATTAAGGCTTGAATTAGGTGGAGGAAAAAAAAACATCCTTAAAAGAAGCGTTAAATAATATGGGACGAATGTTCTTGGCTTTTACTCCACGCATGCTTAGCTTGGGATTAGTGTTCAAAACTCAGTTAATTAATTAACTAACTAATTTTGTTAGAGTTAATTGACTACATTAATTACTAATTATAATAATAAGCTTCTTAATCACGAGGATTTAATCAGTGGGTCCGACCACGACACTGACAATTTAGTGTCGTTTACAAGAATACTAATATTTTATTACAAAAAGATGAAATTAATTGTAAAGAAATAACTAGAAAACAAATAAAATTTTAAATAATCAGAAATAAAAATTAAATAGAGCCTCAATTTTAGATATATTAATAAAATCATAATTTAATAATTATCAACTCTTCCTCAACAAATTAAAAAAAAAAAAATCTAATTGAAAATTTTCAACCGGTAAAAATTGAAAATTTTAAAAATACAACAAAGACAGAAACCGAAATTACCTAAAAAATTAAGGATCGATTAAATAGTAAATTATAATTTCTTACCGTCAATGTTGTCATCCGGCGGTGTAGGAGGTAGAGGCGGAGGTGGTGCCACCGCCATCACGCCATCGGGTTGCCGAGCAAGCTGCTTATCGACCTTGCTTTCACTACACCGAGATTCGTTCTCTTCTTACTAGTCAATGTCAATGGTGGCCGTGGGGATGGCGATGAAGAAGGCTTCTTGTTATCTTCTTTCTCGACGACGGTGGTGGCCAAGGATCGGCTGCGGACGCTGTTCATGCTGCGGAGGCGACCTTTTCCCAAGTGATGTTCACAGAGAGAGTAACCAACGAGGGTCTGTTGGCAGCAGCGCCACCCTCTTCCATTGACGCGGCTGCACCGAGATCCCTCCATTAAAGCGCCGCCTCTCGATTTCCTTTTTCCGGCGAGGTTGAGACCTATTTTGGATTGGTGTTCTTCTTGTTTCTTCTTCATCTTCTTGTTTCCATTGTTGTTGTGATCATCACTTCTTCTCTTCTTTAATGGAAATTCCTTCTCGCTTTCGCCCCACCGCCCCACCACTACAACAAACAACCAATTCAGCTATCACTCAATTGTAAACCTTAAAGTTCATAGCTCATGATATGTTCGATTTAATTGTCAAGTTCGAACAAATAAATTTTTTTGATCACACGTTCAAATGAGCTAAGTGATGATGTATCGCGATCAGAGGAAGTCTCCCACGAGATCTCACGAAAACAAATCAAAACGAACGCTACAAATTTTCTAAAAAGGTTAGAACTTTGATAGGCCAACACAAAACCCAGATGAGTAAACGTACTCCAACGAGTAACGTTATAAGTTATCACGATACAACTCACGTCCCGAAATACTAGACCATTTTTTGTAAAACCCCATTTTGTCCAAGTTGTTATGAAACCGACAAAAATCAACGGTTTTTCGCATAGCTTACCCTAACTGATCCACAATTCCCGTGGACTCTGAATTATCCGAACACCCAGTATCGATGATCATCTTTGCACTGGCTAATTCCGACATAGATTTGAAATACTACCCTCTACAAGTCAAGCCTTTGCAGAGAAATAATAGAAACAAGCTAGTTACTCTTAACATCAATTATGGAAAAAACGACAACATTCCACGAGGTTAAATATAGGATTTTACACCACGATATTATGTCAAATCACTACAAAACGATAAGTCGAGAATAACCCAGATGCTCTCGTTACATTACTCCATGAGATCTAAAGTTACTATCTACTAATGATAATGATATGATTTAGTGCATCAAATGATGAAAGGCAAACAACACAAGAACAAAGAAGAGTGGGATGATGAGAAAAAGGTGAGACCTTGAGGTGAAGAGGTGGATTGTGGAACAACCCCATTGCTTGTTTCCGAATCAAACTCGCATCTCTCCCTAAAACCAAACCAAAAACCAAAAAAAATGCACAAAAAAGGAAGAAAAAAAGTGAAAAAGATGAAAGAGGAGCAGTGGACCAGCGAAGAACATGCAGCCCATGGGCGCACAACATATAGAGAGGCAAAAGGCAATGAAAAACACATTAAAAAAAACATCCAAACAGTGGTTCCACTTGCCATGTTTTTCCTTTGTGCTCCTCTGAAAAAAAAAACAATAAATTTTGTTACCTGGTATTATCCTCAATGTCTTCTTGTTGTTCCTTCTCCTGCACAAAGAAAGAGAGGCGATGAGTGGTAGATAGGCATTTGTGGCGTTTGTTGGCCTTAATTTGAGGGTCAATCCTTCCAAATCAAGAGCAAACCAAGGAAGGAGATGGGTATTGGATTACTGACCATGGCATTAGTGTGGGGATTTGGAGGAGCGTGTGCGTGGGCGTGGAGGGGATCCGAGACAGGGCGAGGGTCAGAGGAGAAGGCTAATGGGAGCTGCCGCTTTCTGATTCTCATGGCCTCTAATTAGAACTGTAATAATGGGAACCAAACACAGAGGAAAAGAGGGAAGGAGTGTAAGAAGAAGACCAAGAACTTTCTTATCTTTCTTGTTGGCTTTGGATTTAATGACTTGCAGTTGCTGCACCACTGGAGAGAAGGGGCAACCGGAAGAGGAGGTAGCCGGTGGGAGGGAATCGGAGGAGGGATGACAGCGTGGAGGGGACAGGTTATTGGGTGAGGGTGATGGTGATGGTGATGGTGATGGAATACCATATGATGGGAGTGGGTAATTTTATCTTTTCTATTACTTTTCTTTTCTTTTTTTTTTTTTTGGTAATATGGTGGGTCCCACTAGCTTTTTTCGTTCCATCCACCTCCACAAATCCTTAAATCCTTAGCGACAAGTTGATTCTATCCATAGAATTACTTGTGAAATTTTACATTGGTTGGTAAGGAGAATGAAATATTCTTTATAAATGTGTGAAAACTTCTCGATAGTAGACGCGTTTTAAAAACCTTGAGTGAAAGCTGAAAGGAAAAGCAACAAAATGATTTGCTAATGGTAGATTTAGGGCATTACAAATGATATCAAAATCAAACATCGAGCTATGTGTCAACAAGGAGGCTGAGTTCTGAAGGGGGAGTGGACATGAGATGATGTGCCAGCAAAGACTATAAGCCTCGAACGGGGTGGATTTTGTGGGAGTCTCACATCGATTGGAGAAAGGAACGTTAGACTTCAAAGGGAAATTGGGTAAGCTTAAAGAGGATAGTTTCTACTAGCGAATAGGCTTGGGGCATTGCTCAATTCTACTTTACTTTTAATATTGTTATAAAAAATTAAGAATATTTGACGTTAAGTTCTATTATTCGGTGATACATAACTCTATTTTTAATTAAATTATAAGAAAAACCTTTTTTAACTGTACAAAATTTAATAAAATATTCCATTTGTTGTCAATTGAGCCAAAAAAAAATCAAATTAACCTCGAAAGAAATGCATTTTGTCTTGTTCTTGGCCATAAATGGTGTGCTTTATTGACAAAGTCCCACATTGCTAGTTTTTCAGCACAGTTTGCACTATTAATTTCTGGCCATACAGCGAAACAATCGCCGAGCTTGGTCGCGTAAGCTTGTAACTCGAGTGAGGGCATAAGGGAGATAGAACATTTGTTCAATTATTCGGGCCGGGTTCAAGTTGGCTAAATATATATCGTCAGCCCATTTCAAGCCAGGAGTGGGCCGTGTGGTTTGGGCGAAAGCCCATACGTCACAGTCCTTAGAGTAGAGGGGAACGCGTCAGGCTGGCCTCACAGAGCAACGTGACCTCTCTCTCTTTGCAGTGGAAGGATAACTGGCCGATGCCTCTTGAACCCTCCAAGGTCCTAGGATTGGGCCTAAATGGACCATCTTCTTTCTTTTTTGTCTGGGCCAAGGCCCAAGCCCAAGCCCGAGGTCCTTATTAATAAAATAGAAAGATAGATATAGTAATTAAGAGTAGGAAATGTTGGCAATAAATATAAAAAGTGGGAGAGTTATTGGAGCATAAATTGAGAAACATGTTGTTATGTTACATTTATATTGCCAAAAATCCAAGCGTGCCTTTTACATAATGACAGCCGCGTTCTTCAAATTTAGAAACGACAAGTTGAAATCGATTACACATTCTGTAAAAAATTTGCCAAAAAAGTGGGAAATCTCTAATCTAATCTCCCTTCTCCCGCCATCATCACTCAATTCACTCCTCACTAAACAAGAAATTCAGTTGTTGCCGCCAATCCCACAGCGCCACACATGCCTTCTTCTTCAGATCTCAGCCGCTCGATCCAATAATACCCAATTTTCATTCATCAGCCGCACGATCCTATCCATCGCCTGATCGTTGTATGCTTCATTTTTTTAGTTTTTTTTTTTTTTGTTGTCTCTCTGTGCGATTAATCTCCGTTTTCCCTTTTCTCTCTCGCTCTCGCTCTCTCTCTCTCTCTCTCTCTCTCTCTGTTGCTTGTGTGTGGACCAGATCGCTGATCGATGGCGGACCTTTGATGGCGAATCAGCTCGAGCGCAGCTAAGGGGAAGATCATTTCGGGTTTACTGAATGATATGGAATCCAGAGCAGTTGTCTGAGGCAGGTGTTCAGCTTTCTTGTTCTTGTTGTTCTTCTTCTTCTGAATCGACGTGAGAATTTTGTTGTTTGGCTGCAGTCGCGTTAAACCCTAGTTTTCCTTGCGAGTCTAGGATTGGGATTTTTTCAATTCGACTTTTTTATTATTATTATTATTAGGATTAGTTTATCGTTTGATGAACTGGGATTGACGGGGTCAAGGCTAAGCTCGACGGAATTTCGTGATTTTTCACTTCCTGCGTAACCAAATTGATCGAGGATTTATTGTTTTTTATTATTGTATATCGACTAGGTTAGTTTCGTTTGAGAGAATTGGGGTTTTCTGTACGGATTCTTCGGTGATTTCAAGCTTGTGATAAATTTAAGTAATGTGTTGTGAGGGATTTTCTGTTGGAGAAGGGTGGATTGTTCATCTGGGACAGAGTTGATCTTGTGCTTTGAGGTAATTTGAATTTCATGGTGCCATTGGGGTTTCTTCTAACCAGAGGCCGTTAAGTTTCAGGTTGAATTGGGGGTTTTTTATTTTTACTTTTATTCGAATAAATTTGTAATGGGTGACGAAATCTTTGATGCCATGAACCTTGACTTGAATCTGGGTCCTATTCCAGAGCCTCCTTCAAACTCTCCAAATGAAGATGTGAATTTAGCTAATTTGATTGAGGACCCTGTACATAGATTTGGAGACGCTATCAGGTTTAGGACGAGACATCGATGGAGAAGGCGTCAAGTCCAAATTCCTTCTGGGACTCAGAATATTTCATTGGAATTGAGTGAAATTATGGTCAATTCAGTCAATGGGAATTCATTACAGCCATTACAGGCTGGTGAGGGTAGTATTACTGCTGAGGAAAGGAAAAATGAAGCAGGGAAAACTTGTGAAATTAACAATGAAGCTTTGGAAGATGAAAAGGCAGAGAATAAGAGTGATGTTGAAAAGGGCAGTGACTCTGATGGGAGTTTCTTTGATTGTAATATATGTCTGGACTTGGCTAGGGACCCTGTTGTTACTTGTTGTGGTCACCTATACTGCTGGCCGTGCCTTTATCGATGGCTACATCTACATTCAGATGCCAAGGAATGCCCTGTATGTAAAGGAGAGGTTACCATGAAGACTGTGACGCCAATTTATGGTCGTGGCAGCAACACGCCTATGACAGAGGAGGATGCTGCACTTAAGATTCCTCTAAGGCCTCATGCTCGGAAGGTTGAAAGTTTGAGACAAACCATTCAGAGGACTGCACTTAATTTCCCTATGGATGAGATGATTCGTCGATTGGGGAATAGATTTGATTTCAATCGTGATCTAGACCAACCGCCGGAGCCAGACGGTTCACATGAAACATTTGGTCGATCTCCAACCTTGTTGAATAGGATTTTAACGTCCAGGGGAATTCGTAGAGAACAAATTTCACTACACCCCCATGATGATGTAGGAGTTTTAGAACTCCCTCATGCGTCTGGCACCGAGGCAGGAGATACCCGTCTTCAATCTCTCCCAGTGCTTCGATCATTACTACACAGGACAAGAGTTTCTTCTCTTACCTCTGCGTTTAATACTGCTGATAGGCTTCCAGAGGGCTTTTTGTACACCGATCCGCTCGTTCCTAGACATCAAGAGCAGCCTCCTCCGCCTGTGGAGGATAGAGATTCTTTCTCTAGCATTGCTGCTGTTATCAATTCTGAGAGTCAAATGGACACCGCTGTAGAAATTGATTCCATGGTCTCCCATTCAACATCATCATCCAGAAGAAGAAATGATTCTTTGCAGGTTTCCGATGTAGACAGTGGAAACTCTCGGGCGCCCAGACGGAGAAGATTGGCATGAAAGGAGGGCCTCTATCTGAATCCCAAGATTGGGAAAATGAATCATGACTAATATTTCCACACCTATGTAAGTTCTACTTGCATTTATTTACTTTTTCATTAAGAAAAAAGCATTGGCTCTTGCTTCGACAACGGACTATTACATGGTCGATATTCAATTTTCTTCGTTTTACTGCTCTTATTGTACGTGAATTGAAATGTAGGCATACTTCTTGAACATATGGGAAGCAAATAATTAGTAAATCAAGTAGAGAGTACTTTCCTTTATCTCCTCCATATGTATCCTTTCATGCATCAAAACCCAGTTCAACATTTTCTTACAAATCTATATCTATCATCTTCTTGACTTTGGTGTTTTCAGCCCTTGACCATATCTGATGTGTTTAATTTACTTTAGGTTAAATCGAAAATTTGGTTACATAGTTAGTCCCTATAGTTTTAAATGTTAGAATTAGAACAAGCTATTTGTGAGGGTTTTATCTAATTATGGAGACTATTTATGAAGCAAGCCATAAGGACGAGTGATTTTATCTAATTGTGAGGATATTATGTTCATTTTTAGCTTTTCTCTGGTAGTTTTAGCTTAATGAGAGTGCAATCATAAGTTCATCCATGCTTTGAACTGGAAGTTTTTTCTGGTTTTGTTTTATTATTACCCATTAAACGAACATGGGATTTGACTGTTCACCTCAAAGCAATTCAATGTGAAATATTTTGAATTTCTTGTTGAATTTGCTCTATTTTGACTTGAGTTATTTAGACTGATCATTGCAACAATGATGAGCATATCATCCGGCAGATTTTTCACCTTTTGGCTTTGCTTTATTCTCCATTAGCTCATCTGCTGATTCTGTTAGCATCATCTAAAAGCTAGTTAGATAATCCACCACTTAGAGACGAGCATAGCGAATCAGTAACGAATTAGCGTTCTCTTTCATCTTCATCAACTATTATCATGCAAAAGAATAGGTTAGAAATCTTGAAGGCTATGGTTTCCACTACATACACTCCTGTATGAAAATCACAAGATCCCATGGAGTAACAGCCTGAAGTTCAAAAATAGTTTGTAGGTTATTAGGTGTGAGATCCTACCTCAGTTGAGGAGGAGAACGAAGCATCCCTTATAAGGGTGTGGAAACCTCTCCCTAGCATACGAGTTTTAAAACCGTGAGGGGAAGCTCAAAAGGGAAAGCCCAAAGAGGACAATATCTGCTAACGGTGAGATTAGACTGTTACAAATGGTATCAGAGGTAGGCAATGGGCAGTGTGCTAGAGAGGACGCTGGCCCCCAAAGTGGGTGGATTGTGAATTGTGAGATCCCACATCAGTTGGAGAGGAGAACGAAACATTCTTTATAAGGCGTGGAAACCTCTTCCTAGCGAACACGTTTTAAAACTTTGAGAGGAGGCCTAGAAAGCAAAGCCCAAAGAGAACAATATTTACTAGTGGTGGGCTTGTAATGTTACATTAGGTCACTCACACAAAGAATCCTAGGATTAGAACGACTTTCTTCACTCTTTTTCACGTAAAGAAACACATTCAGGCTATTCTTCTAGGAGCTTGTTGACTTTAGAAGGCTCATCATGATCATTTACTTTGATCCTCATGGATTCCCTCCACTTGTCTTGTTGGGCTACAATACCCATATTTCCATTTATGTCTCCACTACAATACAATACCCATGCTTTTCATTATAATCAATGACTGCTGTGATTGTCTATCCCATTCCCATTTTGTGAACACATTGAGTGAAATCTAAGCCATCTCCATTGTTTCAAAGCTACAAGCCATGATTACCAGTAGTATTGAAATATGTAGCTAGCTTGAGCTTTTTGTTTAAACATGATGAATCATGATGAGAAATCATCAAGTGGAGCTCTAACTCATTGCATAAAATGATGTATGTTTCTCTATTGTATATCCCTTGAATATTCAGGTGAGTGGAAAAGGCAATTTACTCTGCTATAACACACAATGTTTCTCTGCAATGTTTTCTAATAATTTGCACCAGTTGATGTAAAGTTATTCCTTGTCTTTTTTTAGTGAAATTCCTTGCAACTGTCTACCAGAAACCTTGTTTTCAAATGCATTTATTGGCTGAGACATGTTTTTGTTCAGATCTTACATTTGTGTACTAAAAAATTTAAACTGGGAGTGGAGAATGAAAAATGTAACGGCCTAAGCTCACTGTTAATAGATATTGTCTGCTTTAACTCTTATAATGTGTTTACTAGGGAGAGGTTTCCACACCCTTATAAGAAATGTTTCGTGTTCCTCTCCAACCAATATGAGATCTCACAATCCACCTCTTTGGGGGCCAGTGTCATCACTAGCACACCACCCGATATCTAGCTCTAATACCATTTTTAATAATCCAAGCCCACTGTTAATAGATATTATTTGCTTTGGTTCGTTACGTATCGTCGTCAGCCTCTCGGTTTTAAAACGCGTCTACTAGGGTGAGGTTTTCATACCTTTATACTAGATGTTTCGTTCTCCTCTCCTTTAATAGAAAAAATTCTCCATCCCTATCTTCATTTAGCTAATAGAAAAGATTGTCTCAACTTTCTCCGAGTTTCTATATAATTGAAAAAAGAACAGTCTTCTTCGGTATGATCTAACTTATAATTCTTTATCAATCTCCCACATAAATGCCGAACTCCAACTATAAATATACTCTACAAAATCAACTAAAAAGAGTATTCGAGACGATTGAAAAGACAGTATCGGGTGATAATTATTAATATCATTATTGGGATAGAGGGGGAGGAGGGGCAATAATGAAAGGGTATGGCCCAAGGCATGCACGCCCATAATTGGTGAAGTTGGGATTGACATTGTTTATCCATTATATTTGGTGGTCAAGCCAAGCCAAGCCAGGCCCTTACACACCATTATCTCTTTTCTTCTTCTTCTTCTTCCTCCTTTTTCTTTTTTCTTCCATTCTTCTTCTTGGGTCAACCAACTATAACACCTTTTCTTTTTTACTTTTTTACTTTTTTACTTTTTTACTTTTTTACTTTTCTAGGGTTTTGAAAGTTTCCCATTTTGTTGTTTGAAAATGTTCTCCGAAGAAACTTTTAGATGTTCTTAACGACACCGTACAAACCTGGCTATTTCGAGTTTTAGTTTTCACTGTTTTGATTTTAGGGTTTCTATCGAAAAGATCTCATGCATATAGAGATGATTGTCTTTTACTTATATATCCGAGATCTTCTTAGTTTTAGATTGACAGAAGTTATAATCATGTTCATCTCTCCACTGTTCAACTTTAAATTTTCGTCTATAAAGCTTCCTGAAGCGTACATTAATAATGTATGATTATGGTAAGAAAACATGGAGAAGTGAAAGAGAAATGACATTGATAGGATAAAAGGGGACAAAGATCCCTCCAATTCCTATGTTACATGCTTTCTTGTCCTTTACAATTCCTACATTTTCCCTTTTTCTTAAATCCTTTTCCTAAGTTATTAAAATTTGTAATCAAACACAATCATTCACTTTTTCCATAAAGTGATCTTTGCCGACTGTCTTATGGGGATCTTTTGATCAGCTGTTCATAGCAACGAACAAACCGTTTAAAGAAGCGTTGTTGAGTGAATAGACTACAATGTCCCGAGTATCAAGTATTTTGAATACTTTGATATTCAAACATGAATTTATGGAATCGGGTCTAATAATCTCATTCTCATACCATCTATAAACACAAATAAGTATTTTATTCTCGAGCTTTTGATACCGAACTCGATTACTAAACGTTATACCCCGTTGATCAAACCCTAAACTCTAAATCAAGTTATTCATGATGTCTAGTGCTCATGAGTTATACTCCGTATAACTTGAGGCTAAGAAAGCTAGTCTACCATTAACTCAGTATATTTGACGAGCGAAAAAAAAAATGTGCGTTCTTATTCGAACGTAGTCTCGTTTCATTCATATACTCCTCCTTTACTCGGGTGTTATAAGAAATATATAAAGATCCCAACAAATATTTTAATGGGTAACTAATTTTTTTAAAAAAAAATAATTAAAAATATGTATTCTAATCATTGATTAAGTTATAATGATAATATGTATGTTCTTATCTTAGGGATAATCATTAGTTTATGTTAAAAACTTATTAATGACAATAATCATTGATTTTTGCTAATATCTATTTATCTATTTTTATGGCTATTATTGTAATATTGTATCACTATTGTACTAGTTATTATAACCTTAATTTTGATAATTTATTAAATCATTCTTCCTCAAGTTTATTCCATAATTATTTTTTAAAAAAAGAAAAAGTAAATAAAAATAATGAAGAAAAAAGTAGGGCCCATAGGGGAGTAGTTGGGCCGACCAAATCACCGACAAACCCATAACCCTATGATTGATTCGATGTCAAAACGTTAATTAGGGAATGTGGGAACATAAAATAATTATTTATTAAATACTTCAAAAGGAAATCTCTTCTTAACAGATGTATTTTAAAATCGTGAGACTGATAACTATACATATTAAAACAGACAATATCTACTAACCGAAGCTAAGATCGCACTGTTTGTCTTGTTTTCGACGGACTCGGACCCACGTAATTCACTTATTTATTTATTTATTTATTTTAATTTCTTAATTTTTGTATCTAAAGCTTATCATTAAAGCCTGCATGAGTTCAATTATTGCAATGATCCCAAAAGCGTGACATATCTGACCTCGTCACATCCTCTGGATCCTTTCATTTATTTCTTTATTTTTTAAGATGATAAATAGTATTATTATATTTTAAAAGGGTAAAATAAATAATAATTGTTTTATAGTGAAAGCAATAATTTGGGAATATAGCCACAATTGGGTTTTNTGAAAAGACATTAATACCCTTCTCATAAAAAAAATATTATTTAGAAAAAAAAAAAAAAAAAAAAAACTACTTTCCTTGGACACTGTGATGACGTGGTCGCCTTGTCTGCGTCAAGTCGAACATCTTATTATTTGGTCAAATCTCGTGCTAATCTTACTCTCTCTACTTTTTATTTTTATTATTTTATAATAAATAAATATCAAAATGGAGAAAATTCTTCTAAAACTATTTAATTAATAAATAAAATATTTACGATTTTAAAACGTGTTTGTTAGGAAGAGATTTCTACATTCTTATAAAAAATGTTTCATTCTTTGCAACCGATGTGAGATCTCGCAATCTCGCTAGCACACCGCTCCATAATTGGTTGTAATATCCTTTGTAACAGCTCAAGTCCACCACCAACAGATATTGCCTCACAGTTTTTAAACTTGTCTACTGTAGAGATGGTCTAGCTCAACTCTGACTGTGGCCACTTTTAAACACTATGTAGATTGTCAGA